ACTTGACTGGGATGTTCAAGGAATAAAAGACTGTTTCTCACTTTTCTTACATTAAATAACCTATAGACGATAATAAATAAAACTGGTTGGCGAGGCTAGAATTCATAGGGCAGTGACTTCCATCTGAGGTCGCTGAATAGTCAGTGACCTCGACTTCATAACCTGAAAGTATGTTATAGTGATGATACATTCGTAATAATTAGAAGAAATGATTTGGAATATATCCACAAATTAATCCACAACATATTTGAAGACATTGAATTCACAAAATAAGAAGAAACAGGCGACAAACTTCCATTTTTAGATGTCTAAATCAAGAGAACTAACAGAGGAAATTTAGAAACACAAGTACACTGAAAATCAACACACACACACGCAGATCAAATACTCAACTACAATAGCAATAGTCCAATGATTCACAAAAGAAATTGTGTGAAGACATGTTTTAAAGAGTCTAAACACACCGTAGCACTCAGGTGCTGATTAGAATAGAGGAAAGATACACCTATTAACTGTCTTCAAAAAGAATGCATATTCTTACAATTTCATCAAAAACCTTTTAAACCCAAGTCGTAATACCAACAAGAAACCGTCGTCAAAGATCACAAGAAAATTCATCTCAAAATATATAAAGAATATTTCTGAAATAATGGAAAGAATAATAAGATGGTTTGAAGTAGATATAACACACAAGCCAGAAGAATCACTTCATTTGACGTTGCGCAGACCAAAAGATTCAAAAGAATAAGGATATGAGGTCAACACCACTCACAGAATAAACTGCGTGAACTGCAATGAACCCTACATTAGTCAAAGTGAGCACTCTCTTCGATTGAGAATCCAAAAACGTAAATTAACTTTGAAAAGGCACGATATGTATCCTTTCTTATAGATGTATACAGATAATTAAAGACACGAATTTGATTAGGACAACAAAGAGTGGAGGAAACAATTCAAGACTTGGTTTTCAAAATAATCTGCCATTAACAAATACAATACTATACGCTAAATTTTGATTGGAAACTGGTGAGTAACTAGTGTAATGTGCCTAGTTCTCTGTTTCGTTCAGACTTAATTCTATCAGTCAATTTTGCAATGTGACCACCATTCTAGATGACTCGTTATCACGGTTCACTACAAATTGTTGATATGAGATGGCTGGAGGTAATCTGCAGGAGGCTTTGCTTCACCTAGGTCTCGTGCTAATTGGTGCTCGTCAGTAAGGCATATCAGCATCCTTGAGAGAACGCCTTACTGACAATTGCCGTATAACGTCAACAATAGACCGAAGTCACCAACAAATAAAAAATAAATCAGATGACAAGAAAATTCAAATTCCAGGTCATTAAAAATGATCTAAACGGATGTAAATTAACAACCAATCATGACGATAACTACCATGAGATAAACTTATATCATTCATGGATAGAATTCAAACAAGTTCATATTTTAAATTAAAGTTTGCGCTGAAGATGTTGTCTAGATGGTAAATGAAAGCTTTGCAATTAAATCAACCGGCCCAAAGAACAAAAACCAAATCAAAATCATCCACCTGAGCTACAAATCTTCTCTATTCTTTAAAAACTGATCTAACAAATTAGCAAACATTCCAATGAAGATATAAATATTCTAAATACTCTGAGAAATTGATTCCATTAAAGTTTACCGGTCAATGTTAATTTTAGAGTCATTATTTTCTTCTGCCTTAATTGCTAATTTAATCGCTATTATCAATTAAAAATTAAAACAAATTATATTTCATCTTTTACTCGATTGGTCCTTTTTTTCTCTAGAATAATCGAATGTTTATACGTAAGCATATGCCTATATGTCTACATAGGTATATTAAATAAATACCTTATGAAATTGAAAGTGAGGATGGACTTCCCGCTAATGACATTGGTTGGTGATCGCGCTGAAAATCATAAATTGATAGAAGTTAGAATTCATGAACTGACCACTGAATTGGGTCTCAGTGGCTGAATGGTCTACGAGGTTGCCTTAAAACCAGAAGGCCCTTGGTTTGAATCATGGGGGTGGGTGCGTATCGTCGATTATTCTCAAATTTAAGATGAAACAGCTATCTAGTAGTCCCTGGTGGTTTCAATCGTTCTCTGACTGATATCAATCTGTGGTCACACTTGAAAAAAATAAATCGAATCCTTAAAAATCAACTCTTGAGAAGTGAGAGTATCATATTTCGAGTAACAAATGCACACCATTGACTTTTATTATGGTCCACTTTGTATATGAAATTAGCTGAACTATCAGTCTAGAACTTTACACAAAGTGGATTAGATCAGGTTGCTAAACTTCAGAAAAGTGACTTGTAGATATTAGTTCAAAAAAAGGAGATTTTAACTGATTAAAGATGCCCACAATAAATTTCAATCAACTGAGTCTAGTGAACAGGGAAGGAATATTCTCTTCAATAATTTCTTCAACAGTCCATACAGTTATCTTCATACATTAGTTAAGGAATTGTTGTTATGATCCTTATTCATGTCTTCAACAAGATCATTTCAATAAGATTAATAAAGAATAGTTCAAAATCATCTTTAATAATAATATGCGTCATCATAACACTAAATTGTACATCAAATACATTAAGTAAAAGAAGAATATAAAGTTTATGAATTAATAGGTTCTACAACAATAGAAACTGGACTTATTTCTTGTATAAACAAGTTCTGATTGCCTTCAGTAGCCTCCATAGTTTGGAGTATTCAGTATCTCTAGGCCTTCGGTAATTTTTTATGTACTCGATGGATGGTAGAAAAAGATTCTTTGTCGTTAGCATTATGACTTATTTTGACCAGTTGCTACAATAGTGAAGTGTTGATAGTCTTTATTACACCTTTATTTAGCAATAATCGTAGGCGGTTCCAAGCATGAAAAACTGAATTCCTAGAACAACTACCAATACAACTGAATGTAAAACTGTAGAACCATATGAAGAAGTTATCGAAAAGAATATTCTTTGCTCACTAACCAGTCTTTTAAGGAACAAAGAACTTCACATATAAATTAAGCCATTATGGGCTCTGGTTACTTCAATAACCTATAAGAAATCTACTGAAATAAATTAGGAAGTCATTACATTTTGAGAAGACTGTAACAACTCAGTATGAGTATAATTCGACAAAGTTTATGATTGAATGTACAAAATATGTAAATTTATACCAGTCATTATTTAGGTTGACCGATAAGTTAAAGCAGATGAAAATAATTTTCAGATCTAGGTCGTCAGCATAATTTTGTTACTTGTGGGTGTCATCTCAAAGTAAGACAATCAGAAAATAAATTATTAAATAATTCAAACATAGTCTTCGAGTGAATATGCAGTTTTACCGAGCCCAATTAAGCATTTTTCTTCATCTCAAATATTAGTTATTCCATTTAGTAATACATATTAAAATTTCAGAGAAACTATAAGGTCTGCTCAATTCTGGAAAGCAAGTAAATACATCGTACAGCACAGTTTCTTCGTTGACTTTCAACAGTTAACATCTATGGATGCAAGCGTTTACCGCCGATAGTTTGTGCGTATAAAGAGATCTAGAACAAAAAGAAAGCACCGCATACGGTTCTATATCCATCTAAATGTATATTCTAAGAATAGTACATCAAGTAACAAGAAATCAGTTTCATCAAGTATTTGATTCCTCTTTATGAATTTGAATAAAGCAAAAACAACAGGTTTTGCAGAATAATTTGGTACCAACATTTATTTTGTTAGCTTCCACTAACTACGTAGAGCCTAAAGAAAGTTTTAAGTTTATGTACAGAACAGTTTTAACGTAATTGTAGATTTTACATGATGTCAGTTGACAGCAGGTCCTAAACTTAAGTGAACGGTGCTCAGGAATTTACGCCTATTTATTTTTTTATCCAGAGAGTTTAGATGTAAACAAAACTAGTGTATGCATACAGAGAGAGATGAGAGGTCCGTCAGATGATGTGTAGCTGATAATTTGGGTAATAATGTACTCAGTTCAACTCAAACCATAAATAGAAGAGACAAGTCGAATTAAGTAATATGAACGGGATGAGATTGAAGCCAAAAGTTACGTTATCAAATGAAAGAGAAAATAAACAAGTCCAGTTACCACGGCAAGGATACACTGATAACTTTATTTTAGAATACATAAATTGGATTATAGGATTTTGATAAGGAACTTCTCAGAGCCAATTTTTTTTCAGATTCATTTTACTCAGCACATCTTACTATTATGCACGAATATCATATCTTCCGATAACTATTAAACAGCTGATAATTATTATTATTCCAACCGATTCCTAGTTGAACATAAAGTTTCGGCAGCACATCACCATTCCACGCTGTTTCTTCCACGACCGCTAATAAGTTTTCAGCCTCTCCTGAGATGATCTCCTCCATGTCATCGTCGGGTGCGCACTAAAGCTATCGTTTCCCATTCGGATGCTTTTTGAGAGCTGAAGACGTGATGTTAACCAATGGTCACCTTAGTGTGCACCCAGTCCATCGTCACTTCCTCCACCATATTTGTTGGGCGATAGGTTCTTGACTGGTTCGTTGCCAGAGTCTTTTGTTGCCTATCCTATGTGGCTGTTTAATCTTTAACATGGAGTGAACTCAGCTACTGACAAAGGTCTGCAGCATCTTTGAATTGCTTTCCTTTACTCACGAAGCCTCTGAAGCATATGGAAGCACTGACTTGACATTAGTGTCAAAGATCCTAATTTTGTTTCCTATACTGACTGCAGCTGATGAGTCTTAACTGAAGCAAACACGGAAACAAATAGGCTTCTTTTCCTTATGACCTGTGAAAGCCGACAAACAACAGTCATAGAGCAACAATAAAATTTATACGATAAACCACCGACATAAAGATAAATTTGTTATAATAGTGAAGCTAGCAGGTAAAAGATTTTATAAAAATTCTAGTATTGAGTTACCTGTGCTAATAGAATATCTGTCAGTTTACTAAATATTAAAACGCTAAAAATGCAAACTTTACCTAGGAGGGAGGAATGCACAAATTAATTTCCAAACAATGGTAACCGCATGCACCATGTATTGAGCAATTGTCGACGGTATTTGATCTCCATTTTCATTATAGTTTGGAAGTAAAGAAACAGCCCTTTAATAAAACAAATTAAAAGTTGCCTTGATATAATTTCTCACCATACGCCTGATTTGATGTAGTAAGCGTTTTTTTTAGACAAATGCTCATATTTTGGAAGTGTTAGTTTGTAGCTATTTCACTGATTTCGAGTTTGATCACGAACTACTATATTTTAGAGAAGCACTGAAAACGAGTGAGTACTCGACAGCTGTTATGTTCTGCCCCGGGACTCTCCAGCAGTACTGACTCATTACTCCACCGTGACTGAACTTAACACTTTCAGGTTACTAGGTGAGATAGCTGACCATCCGGTCACTGTGATGGAATCCAGTGGCCTATTAATTCTAACTTCTTTTTAGTACTCCCTAGTTTTCAATGGTTCTTTAACTGATGTCTTTCCATGACTTAACTTGAAACGCTTTTATATTTTACGTTTTTTAACCCAATATTTGACTGTCGTAGATTAGCAACATATTCTAAGGGGGGTAGATAATACTACCTCTATCTGTCAGGATATTACTCAGAGATATAACAAATTTATTAGGATATTCATTATGTTTCACTTGCTGTGACTCAGTAAAAGCTTAGAAACATAAATATCATCGGTTTATTCTCAGGAATGATATAATGAATAACATTTTAATGACATAACTCTATTTCGTGAGAAACTTATTCTTTTAGGAATATCAAATTTGACAAGGTTCAACAGATGCGAAAATATTGAATGACAAAGTATTTTGTAGGAGTACGTGGTTCATTAGCCTGCATGAATTCCCTTTCATAAATCAGAGTATAGAAAGAACAAACATTGGTGCAGAATAACATGGATTAGTTTCATTTCGTTATTTCTCATCAACTGAATACAACCTATTATCTTTAATAAATAAAAGTCAGCGTAAAATCTAACGCACTTAGTTATCAACAAGCATATTATACGAGTGTCAATCAAGGTGAGGCAAAACATCAGGACGGCAAGGTAGCTGAAGTGTAAGTATATATATATATATATATATATATATATATATATATATGTCGTCAGAGGGAAGTTTCTAGAAAATTAACTGACGAGTTTGTTGTTAGGGTGGCAACAAAAATTGGTAACAATTAAATAGTCATTTCCAAGTATTGGTTAGTAGGGATTTTGTTTGATTGGTTGACGGATTTAATCATGAGGTGACATCGGTTAGAGAACCATTGGAAAACAAGCTGAGAGTACTGGGAGTCCGTCTGTTTCGTCCTAGTTTGGGAGTCTTCATTGGTAAGCATCCACACTGCAGGGTTCAAACCCAAGACCTCTGGTTACACGACTAGCGAGCACGTGGACCATTAGGCCACTGGGATACGATCCAATGATCAGATCATGAACTCCGACTTCTGCCAATTCACGACATAGCGCGACCACTCAGCAATTTTCCTTACCTGAATCCCAAACTAGAACGAAACACCTGTCCCGTACTCACTGGTTTTCCAGTAGTTCTCTAACCGATGTCACCTCATGATTAAATCCGTCAACCAATCAAACAAAATCCCTACTAACCAATACTTGGAAACGACTATTTAATTTTCTATAGTTTTTGGTTTGTAAGGATTAGTTATGTTTTACGAGTTGATCACGGATTGATATCAGTTAGAGAACCATTGAAAACCAGGAGTACTGGACAGCTGCTGTTTCATCCTAGTTTGGGAATCATCGGCAGTACGCACCCACTGGGATTCGAACCCAGGACCTTCCGGTTACAAGGCAAGCTCGTATACCATTCAGCCACTGGGACCCGATTCAATGGCTCGTGAATTCTAACTTCTACCAATTCGTGATTTAGCGCGACCCCAACCATTGTCGTTGGTGGGACATCCATCCACACACGTCGCGCTAAATCACGAATTGGTAGAAGTTAGAATTCACGAGCCATTGAATCGGGTCCCAGTGGCTGAATGGTATACGAGCTTGCCTTGTAACCGGAAGCCCTTAGGTTCGAACCCCAGTGGGTGTGTACTGCCGATGATTCCCAAACTAGGATGAAACAGCAGCTGTCCAGTACTCCCTGGTTTTCAATGGTTCTCTAACTGATATCAATCCGTGATCGACTATTTAATTGTTACTAATTTTTGTCGCCACCCTAACAACAAACTCGTCAGTTAATTTTCTAGAAACTTCCCTCTGACGACATATATATATATATATATATATATATACTTACACTTCAGCTACCTTGCCGTCCTGATGTTTTACCTCACCTTGACACTCGTATAATATGCTTGTTGATAACTAAGTACGTTAGATTTTACGCTGACTTTTATTTATTAAAGATAATAGGTTGTATTCAGTTGATGAGAAATAACGAAATGAAACTAATCCATGTTATTCTGCACCAATGCTTGTTCTTTGTTTTTCCTCTGGAATAGAAGAAAATGAATGTTACTCATGTTTTATTTACCCGAAAGGGAGGCGGCGAGTTGGTCGTCCAAGGGTGACTTGGAGGAGGTCATGCGAGGAGGAGATGAAAGCATGTGGACAGACCTGGAGCAGGGTGAAAAAGTTGTCAGAAAACCGAAGTCAATGGAGGTGCGCAGCTGAAGCCCTATGTTCCTCTAGGAACTAAAGGATACAAAATTAATAATAAGTTGAAAAGTACTTAAAAAAATTGTAGGTCAGTTCGGGGAAAAAAATAAAGAATGTCTATTTCCGTAAGAGCTTATTTATGTATTTCATTGTTCCTTTGGCTTTAAAAAGTTCATGTTTTTTTAATATTTCACGTCATTGGAAGCAAAACAAAGGGCTCTTTCATAGATCCATCTTTGTTAAACATTTCTCCTATTTGAGAAATATATTTATATCTTAAAAGTGTTAATAAGCTTATTAACTGAGTTGCTTCTTAGCTAAATTTTGATTCCAATTTTTGCATCTCGCAAACTGGTGGGTAACACGTAGGTGGAAAATTCAGTAACATTTTCAAAAATTCTCTAAATTATCATTCTAGTTGATTGACATTATTGAAGAGTCTTCAAGTTAAATATGTGTAATGACCAATAAGTAGCCCAAACAAACTTCTTATTAAAAGTGTCATATGACCTGCAATTCTATTTATACTAATACTGAACGTAGAATAAAGTATTATAAGGTAGGCAGATTAATCAAATCCTTGATACTGTCACAATTTTAACTTTTTTTATATTATCGTTAGGATTCTTTCCAGAAAATCATGATGGACAGGGAAAGGCTATGTGTATTTATCAAAATGAAGTACTTTCATCCACTTTGTTAATTTCCAATTACAACAGAGTTAATACATTTCATAGAGTAACCATCATTCTTTTTTTTTGATATATCTCTTCTTCATTCTCTAGAATTTTAAAGCAACTGATTTTATGACTGTCTGTTAACACCCTTATTTCAGAGTTCATTTCTTCATGAACTGACGTCACAAGTGGAAATCAAAGTCCTCTAAGCATCTGTTTTCTCCTAGACATGAATTATTCAGCAGTGTACATCTATGAACATCCATCTTCTCAATGGTGATACGCTTACACCTCACTGTATCTTGATTACCGTTAGTTATTTAAATTTAGTGATTTTATCGACTTTATATGAAAAATATCTCAGTGTTGAAATATGACACATTACTTCAGAAATAACTAACTAAGTCACATTCATATTATCACTTTTTTATGGAAGTAAATCACAGTCTTGGTCATTTTTTTCTATATATGGTGAATATTTTATTCACGTTGAATATGTTGTACAACTAACACCACCTCGATGACCGATTCACCCTCAAAATGTGTCTGAAACTATCCAGTGTCTCCGAATCCACAGGATGTCATCTTTTAAGCAAAGAAATAAGGAGTTGTACTAAAGAATCATACCGATGAAGTAGTCGCGTGACTATTTAGGTCTTTTACAAACACTCTAACCATCATGTTATGTCGTGAATATCAGATAAGGCATAACCACGGATAAACTAAATACCTTTTACAGCAATTATTATTATATCCTTTAATTCCTAGAGGAACATAGAGCTTCAGCTGTGCCTCCATTGCCTTCGGTTTCCTGCCAACTTTTCACCCCACTCCAAGTCTGCCCAAATGCTTTCATCTCCTCTTCACATGACCTCCTCCAAGTCACCCTTGCACCGACGACCAACTCGCCGCTTCCCCTTCGGGTTCCATTCGAGCGATGGCTTGTCTAGTGATGTCACTTGATGGTTTCTTCACGGTATGACCAGCCAATCCATCTCCATTTCTTCCTGCCTATTTGTTTCACAATCGGTTCCTGCTGCGTTGGTTCGCTCATTGCCAGAGATCCCACCCTGTTGCTGATCTTTTCTGGCCGGCCATCTGATCTTGAGTATTGAGCGAAGACAACTGTTTATGAAGGTCTGAAGTTTGTTTGAGATGCTCTTTATGACATGCTAAGTCTCTGATCCGTATAGTAGTAATGACTTTACATTGGAGTTGGAAATCCGGATGTTATTTTTGATGGTGAGTGCTGTTGACCTCCACACAGACTTAAGAGTAATGAAAGCTTGTCTTGCTTTTCCGATTCTGGATTTGATATCCTCATCAGTTCCATCCGCCTGTATTTGAAACGATGCTTCCCAGGTCGGTAGGTAAAGCAGGTTGTTTATTTCAGGTTCCTCCCATTTATGCTGGCTGATTTTCGTTTGTTGTTGTTGGTGTTGGTGTTGGCCAGGAATCTTCATCACCTCTGCTTTATCTATGTTCACTTGAAGTCCTATCTTCTCTGGATGCTTCTTCTGCCAACTTGTTGCTTTTCACTTGCATATCTTCCAGTTTATGGGAAATCAGACATATGCCATCATCGGCGAAGTCCAGATCCTCCAAGTTTTTTGTGTGAGTCCATTTTTATGCCTGTTTCCTCATTGCCCACTGTCTGTCGCATTATTCAATCTACTGCAATCAGGAAAATCATTTGCGACAGTAGGCAGTCTTGCCTCACTCCCGTCCTCACTTAGAATTATTCAGTAAATTTCCAGTTGTGTATTACTTGGCATGCAGCATTGTCGTACAATTGTTGGATGAGATGTATAATCGTCGATGGCACCCCGTAGTAGCAAAGTAGTTGTCAAATGACCTCTCGATCGACGCTGTCTGTCGAAGGCCTTTTCAAAGTCGATGAATTTGAAATAGAGAGATGACTGCCATTCCAAGCTTCGTTCAATGATGATCCGTAGAGTGGCGATTTGATCAATACATGACTTGTTTCTCCTGAATTAAGCTTGTTCCGGTCGACGTTTTTCATCCAGGGCTTGCTTGACTCTTGACCAGGATGATGCCCCTGGTATTTTACTTGGGATGGACAGGAGCATAATTCCGTGCCAGTTCTTGCATTGACTTCAGTCTCCTTCCTTGGTAGTTTGAATAAGTATCCTTTCTTGCAATCCTCGGGTACTTTTCCCTCTTTCCACACCTTCTCCAGCAATGACGTCATCAAGTCCGCTGTTGTCTCTGCGTCCATTTTCAATGCTTCTTCTGAGACTCCATCTCGTTCTGCTGGTTTTCCAGCTTTTAGCATCTTGATTGCATTCATGACTTCTGATTTCGTTGGAGGGTCGATGTTCACTGGTTTGGATGCTTTAGTGAATAATCGTTTAAATATATTTTCCTATGTGAAATCTTTTACTTCTGAACTTATAAAATCTATTACTTAGTATCTAAAGCTCTATTATTAAGATTAATAACTCAGCTATGAATCTTCCTGAGGTGTAATTTATGTTCAGCATAGTTCCTTTTTGTCTGATAACCTCATGACAAAAAGAAAATCCCACTCGGAACCAATGAGTGGGTTGTCAATGCGTGGGTGACATGGAGGAGATCGTGAGAGTTGGAGAAGATGAGAGATTATAGGCAATCGTGGAGCAAGCCAGGTGAAGAGGACAACAGAGAATAGAACAAAGTGGAGATGTGCTGTTGAGGCCGTATGTTCCACTCGGGACCCATAGGAATAATAATGTAATAAAACTATAGTTACTCAACGACTATTAATATGATATTATTCACTCACATGCGAAACTGTTCTATCCATCCAATTTCTGAATCATTATCTTCGATAATTTCAACTGGAATCACACCGAAAAGAGCAATTAAAAGAATAAAAGGAAATGCGAAATCTAATTTTATTTCCACTGTTACTTGATCTATTTCAAAGTTTCTTTTTTTTGTCCTGTCCTGTAGAAAAATATTTTTATTTTTATTATGTGAAATCAAACTTCTCTTTGATGTCAAAAAAAAACTATTCTGTTTAGTTCGTAAAACAGAATCTCATCTTTCATTTCGTGATGGATTGAATTAACATTTATATTCTTATCGACTGACACTTAACACTTTTTTTCACAATTTCTTCTTTGAACCTAAAAAGCACTTACCGAAGACATGATAGATGATGGACGCTTGATAAGTGTTCAAAACAAAATGAACTTTCTACATTCATTATGAAAATGAATACTGATTAATAAAAACAAAGGCAACTTAATTCAAACTAGTCCTTTGAATTTTTGTTGATATAGAACTCTGTGATGGAAATCAGCTTCTCAGCGTAATATCTGTTGATTTGAGTTGACAAGGTTTTTGTAACAAAAGCGACATTATGAATGATTATAACCTAATGACTTGCGAAATATTAAGTTAGACGTATTGGTAATATCAGTCCATCTTTCAAATAGGGACTTTTCCAGTGAAACATACTACGCTTGTGAAACCTTTATCAGACTTTTTACTTTTTTGAGGGGATGGACGCTTTAATACCTAAATCTGAATATATTTTCAGTTCAAGTGACTTGGATTATAGGCTGGAGGTGAGGTTTGTTTACAGAATCCCAACCATTGTCTTCACTTTTGGTGTCAGTGTATGGTATGTTGTTCTCTTTGAAAGAAAGGTCTCTTAATACTAACCAGGGAAACTCTTCTAGATTGCGATCAGGTGAATATTGTGGTCATCAAGATATTTACTAAGATCTGACTGAAAAGGGTAATGTATTTTAATTTTTTTGAGATATCAAGAGAAGCCTGTCAATAAGAATCCAAGAACTTGACGTGGGTTCGAATCTCAGAAGGGAGATGAATTCCTTCAAGGTTGCAGACACGCTTTGCTGACGAGTGCCAACTAGCACGAAACCTAGGTCCAAGGCTTCCCGCCGATTGCCTCCAACCATCTAATACCGTCAAACTCGGTCTCCAGTTGAATGACATGCATTCTGAAGACATTTTCGCATCCCTAAGGAAACCGATGTTTCATTCCTCTGAAATTCACACATATACCTTATGGATGAATGCTGGCAAATAATAAACTCTAATCCACCGCATACTCTGAGTCAACGTCTATCAAAGTTTAATGCTCCTCTCTATATTTTACTGTTTTTTTGTCATTCAGCCCTCTTGTTGGTCCATCCTTTTGATACAGTTTCAGTGGTTTAGGACAAAAGTTAAGTCAGTTTATTCAGACATTAGTTAGACATGAGAAAAATCTCTTTGTCACATTCAAATGAATATCATTCAACAGTATCTGAGATCTAATACTTTAACTCAAACTAACAAAGACGTCAACCTCATTTATTTTACAATGAATATATGAGAATGTATACACCAGTGCTATACAGTTAAACATACTTGGTCTAATGAAACATATAGCTTCTGTATGATTACCAATCTTTGTTTTATTCTCTGAATCATGAAGTTCTACGAAAAAGTACTTTTGACTCTAAAAAAAAGAACAAGAACACAAGAAGAATAAAAGACATTCAGTTATTCCGATCTGTAAATGCTCTGAGTCACAAGCTTAATTTCTAGTGGACTATTTGAAATGTAAGGGAATCAGAGGTTCCCACTTTCACATCGTTAAGTATTCTGAATAAATCAATCTATCAAGGGAAAGTTTTTAACTGTTTAAAATAGGAATGTTATATTGAATGTGGAATTTTTTGCATTCGTTGTTTTTCTCATTCAGTAATTTATGAATACAATTCAGTTCAAACGTTCACAAAGAATATCATTTCGCAAGTTTCATTCTCCAATACTGCACAGTTCAAGTGGTATACCGTTAGGTAAACTAAATTTATGTTTGCAGGACTGTTGTTGATTGCATACACTACTGGCAGTTTTCATTCAGCAACCTCTCAGAGACTTTGAGAAAGTTATTGAAGTGTAATATAAACGGCATCAATTAAAAGTGTTCTGGAATTCTTCTAGTTAGGAACAACAGTAAGCTTTAAAAGCAAAATGAGGACATGGTTCAGAAGTACATAGTACGATTACAAAAAACACCACTCGATGAAGGTCATCTTTGAAAGAAATGTTTAGGAGATATCTTCACTTCACGACTTGACAACTAGGAGAAAGACTGACAGATGATTGTTTGCTTAAATTATTATGGTGTTTGCTACGGTATGTACTGAGTTAGAGTCCTAGGGGGAACAGAATCACTCTCTGAAATGAAAGTATATTACGATGATAGGTCCCAAATATGACGAAGACCACGACATGGATTTCACTGCTGAACATCAATGACCACAGATCAGCAGGTGTTGAGTCCTTTCAGTTAATTTCTTCTGGCTCTACACAGTAAGTTACTGCCGGTATTAATCAAGTCAGGTAAGATAACAGTTATTAGCTTATGACACTGGCTGATGGTTGTGCTATATATATATATATATATATATGAATAAGCAGAAGTTGAAATTCGTGGACCATTGGATCAGGTCACAAAGGCTAAATGATTTACGAGCTGATTTGTAACTGGTAGGTCATGGGTTCAAACGCCACTGAGTGCCTCCTGCTGATAAGCCCCAAATAATGACGACACGGGTGCACAGCACTCTCTGGTTTCCCGATAGTTCTGTAACTGAAGTCACCTCCTGATCAAGCGTGTACACATTACGAATCATTTCTCTTCAAAAGTTACTTCAAAACCAAATAATACCATCTAATTATAGTACACCTGATATATCTGTTGATAAACAGAATTACTTAAGTCTCGAAAGCAATTAAATGACACGTAATTCACACCCATCTTTAAAGCATTTTCAAATCCCTAAGGTAACTGATGTTTCATACCTCTGAATTTTAAAACATGAAATCAAACATATACACCTAATTGATGAATGCTGACAAAGAATAAATTCTAGCATACTGTCAGTTAATATCTATCAAAGCCTAATGCTCCTCTTTGTATTTTATGCGGTCAGAATGAACTCACTTCAATGATATCCACTTATTCTGCATAATTTTGGTGAATACAAATATTTTCAAAAGTTGGTTTGTAAGGTTTAAGTTTGTTTTTTCCTCTTATACCACGGACTGATATAAGTTAGAAATGCATTGAAAACCAGCAAGGATTACTGGAAAGCTGTTTCATCCTTGTTTGCGAATCGTCGGCAGTACGCACCCACCACCAACGGAGTTTGAATCCAAGACCTTCCGGTTACCAGGAAAGTTCGTAGACCATTCAGCCACAGAGACACCACTCAATGGCCAGCGCATGGATTCTAAATTCTACCAATTCGTGATGTATTTATCGCCACCGCCAACCAGTGTCATCGGCGGGAACTCCATCCTCACTTCCTACTAGGTGCACCTCACTGGTCATGACTAATCACCAGAACTCCAGGAAACTCTGGATGCATACGGATGATAATTCTCAAACAAGGATGAAACAGCAGCTGTCCAGCACTACTTGCTGGTTTTCAATCGTTCTCTAACTGATATCAATCTGTGGTCAATCTCGCAACACAATTATGTATATCTGCACTAATATCATCAAATCATTATTTTGAAATCTTCCACCTGAAACTATCATGTAATCTTAACCCTTCAGTGATATAGCGCTTATATTAATGCAGTCACTGTAAATTGACTGTGCATTACTGTTTCATAACAACAAATGGAATTAGTATGAAGGTTAGTTATTAGTTGAATGAAATATAAAATTCTGAATATACAATGATCTTAGAGACAGATATTTACTGATTGTTCTACAAAACATTTTCCTACGTGTTACTGAATACGTGTATGTAGTCAATTTCTACACATACCTGTGTCCCTTCTTCTCACTTTGCAACTGACTGCTTGATCTTAGACTGTTCATAGGAAACGTGTTTATTCAGTTGGATTCTTTTGGACACATTTTTGATCCCTACCTTGTTGTAAATATTCTCATGTACTCTCAGGTAATTTATTATTGTGTCTGATCAGTTATTTCTGTTGTACAATACATATTTTATACCTGAAAAACTTCTGGACAGTATAGCTACCGGAAAGCATTGTTGAGGTACTTTTATATTTTTGTTATGAGTCACTATTGTAGAGTAGTACGACAGATTCTGTAACTCAAATTGTATTTTCCAGATTACTGAAATAGAATTTTGGATTGTATACTACTCGAAGAAGTTGGACAGAAGAACCCATCTAGTGGTTAGTACGTTAAAAACCGAAATATTTGAATTTTACTTTCATATACTTGGTTCCTTTCATAATTTTCAATAAAGAAAGACCAAATTTGCATAACAAAATGGTATCATTCTATTTCACAGGTGACCGTTTTCACAAATGTACCAGAAATCGAAACAATCGACATCAATTGTAAACAAACAGACCTATTGACAATACCGGAATCAGAGGTGAAGCATCTACTACTTCTCTTCACAAAAGACATCCAAGTCAAATTTAACAGCCAATTTTACGAACAAATCGATGGGGTCGCCATGAGTTCACCTTTGGGACTTATTCTGGTCGATGTCTTCATGGGTTATGCTTAACAGACGTAATTAAGTTCTGATATTAATGAAACAACATATTATCGCAAGATATGTCGATGATACGTTTGTTTTTTGTAACGACATGAGTCGGGCATCTGTATTATTTGACCATCTCAATGAAATCTACCCAAACATTAAATTCACCATGGAATATGAACATAGTGATGAGTTCAATTTCCCGCAAATTAATGTAAGAAGAAGCAACGATGGTATGGTTGAAAAATCAATCTACAGAAAAGTAACCTGGACCAGATGATATCTTCACTACAACAGCTTTCATCCTATTAGCTACAAGCGTGGATTGGAAAGGACACTTTACGACAGAATCAGGAATTTATGTTCGCGCAATGAGGTGGAAGAAGAATCAAACTTTGCTGAAAAAAAAATCAAAGGAAAACTGGTATTTAAACGCATTTATCCAAAATACAGCAAAGAAAAAGATGAGAAAATGAGACATCGAACTATTGAAAATAAGAGAGTGTTCATTTATCTTCCATTCAAAGAAGAAGCAGTATCGAAGACGAATGACAAGAGAATAAAAGAAGTAATAAAAAGATGCTTCTCTACAGCTAAGCTCGTAGCACTATACATCACCATAGGCCCTAAAAGCCAGACCAAACTGAATGAGCACCCTGCAACTGCGTTTATAAATTCATCTACTCTTGTGGGAACAAGTGCTTTGGGCGGACAAAAAGAAGGGCTTCGATTTAGTACTCAGAGCATATCCCAGGAAACTAAAAGGAAGCAGATATTTACAAAGTGCAATCATCAGACACCTTGTACATACGGGTCGTTTCGTCGAGATTTCTAAATCTTTCAAAATATTAAGCATACAAAGGACAGAGAATCTACTACGATTTGCTGAAGCATTCGCATTCAAACCAAATTTATGCACACAGAAAGATATTGTAATCAATCTCCCACTCCCTTGTCAACTCTATTCTGATTACATTGATTAGTCATCCATATCAGTGATTTCAACTCTCTGAGCAAGTTTTCAACTGTGAGTTCTTATGTAAACCTACATTGCTAACAATGTTTATTAGATTTTTCTGTTTTCTATCTTCTCCACAACCCTCGTTTTCTATTTTGAAAGCGTATAAATTGACGGTAACTTATACTAAAATTGTAGTGCTGCCTGTATTTCGGATGCATTGATTTCATAATGTTTTCTTTACTACTGTTCAAACATTGAAGTATGTTAATATCGTTACTTATGACCATTGTAATTCCAGGTAGTTTGCAGCTGACGATAACCTGTGAAATAGAATGATACCGTCTTATACTGCAAAGCTGATCTTTCAATCTTCATTGAATTTTGGTTTTCACAAAGAATAGCACTGTTTTGATTGCGTTGGCTTACTTCATAGCATTAGGCTTGATTACTGATGTCATGTAGTTAAAGTTTACCTGGAAACCTAACCCTCCATTAAAATTGAATTTAAACGAAGTGATATCTTTTGATAGTGTACCAGAAGTCGTTGTTAGTTTTCTATCAGTTACTTTTATAAATATTCAACATATAAAAATTGAAGATTCTCCAGAAAGTGGTCTGGGTACCAGCTTGTTTCTCTTGCATCATAAAAGGTAAATGAGATGGATATTGCTTACTGCGTTTTGGCTTCTCTCAGTGAGTGAGAAAGTGAGTCAGGAATCAAATGAAGTAACAAACTAAATGTCGTATTTTTAAAAGACCAATAACAAAACTGAATTTACTGAATTCTGTATGAATTATATTTTAGTTTGACTATCTCTGAAAATTCTCCAACACGAATCTATGTCAGTCAGCTAAGAATGCTCAAGGAGGAAGATAGTGGCTGGGTTTGAGAAACATATACGTCAATGTTGATGAACATTGTGTAGTTTGTTCATTCTAATTGGTCTCCAATGGCAGGTGACGAGTAGGCTGTCACTGCTTAATCGTGTACTAGTTGACAGAAAATTGGAGAAATACGATCAGAAACTTTAGCACAGAATAACCAATGTAAATATGTTTCGTTATCGCTGGAAAAATAAATTGTGTTGCCCAAACGTTTTCTGTTGTTCCGAGATTTTTAAGAAATCGTGTATAATTTCTAAAAATCATTATCGAATGGAATTTGGAACACTTTACAGACAATGATTAACAACTCTAAAATGTCACAGAGAAATGAAGCTTTTTTAAAAATTTAAAAGGAAGACGAATTACTTTTGAAGTAACGACGGTAATATTTCTTCATAACCAGTCTTATAATCCAGTTAAAAACCTTATTTCAAGTACTTTGAAGGTAATAGAATAAACAATCGTTCAGGGTGAAAACAAAACTACTTGATATCTCTGTATAAACATACCTCTCTGTCTGGTTTTATTTTAATCTCAATTGCTTTTCTCTTTTCACCAATATTGAATAAGACATTCTCATCAATGGCTTCATAATCTCCAGACTGACAGTGATCTTCTTTCCAACCTTTCGCATTACCATCTCTAGTTGATAAAAGAGTGTTTATTAAAGCGAAAATACAAATATGATATATCTGTTCATGACGCAACATTACTTAAATATTTACGCATCAACAGACTGAGTAACTATACTGTAAAACACTAACATGAGAATAGAACTTGAGCAGTGTGGTACAGTATAACTCCATTATGGATCAAATTTATTTTGATAAAGTCTCACAGTGTTAGATAGTAATAATATTTACGGATGACGTTCCGAGTACAATTTATTGCTCATAATCATATCAAGTTACTCACACAACTTCCAAACTTCAATCAGATAATTCCATTACTTTTCATCTATTGATCTGGTTGGTAACTGTATTTTCCATATCTCTGCAGTTGGTGATTGGTTATTCCTATTGTAGGTGAAGCTCCTGAAACCTCTGCATAACGAGTTGGTAGAACATAGTGTGAATGAGAGTTTTGAATTTATCGAAAACATAATAGATCTTAATGTGAATAACAAGTTTATGATGTCTTTTGATGTATCCACCTTGTTCACCAATGTATCCTTGATGGAGAAGCTGGATTTTATGTGTGATGAGATTGCTAAGAGAAACATAGACATTGGCATTTCTGTATCCACTATGCAGGAACTGATTTAAAGATGCTCAACGAGTGTTCATTTCTTATTCAATAAGGAATAGTATAGACAAACTGATGGTGGGGCTAAGGGTTCCCCATTAGGTCCACTCCAAGCTTATGTTTTCCTTCCTAAGTTAAAGGATAGCTCGCTGAAGGGTGTAGTTAATGAGTTGGAATTCTACGGTTAATTTATAGATGATACATTTCTGGTTATGAAAAACAGCGATGAAGCAATGAACATCCTCGACAAGTTCAATGATGCGCATTCAGCAATAAACTCCACCAAAGAGAAAGAAAGTAATGACAGTATCTCATTTCTGGACGTCTTCCTGGCCAGGAAAGAAGATGGCACACTAAGAAGGAGTGTGCATAGAAAACCTACAACAACAGGTCAATACACTCACTTTCTGAGCTTTGCACCTTTGAAATTTAGAGATAACATGGTAGTGTCTGGTTCATGGAGCTAAGATAATCTGTTCAAACGACTCCATCAATGAGGAGCTTAAGATTATGAGAGAATTTCTTAGTAGAAATGGTTATCCAGATAAGTTAATTGAGAAAAATATGAATTTAGCACCAAGGAGAGCCGAAATGGCAACAGCTGCGATAAAGCCATTGTTCATAAATCTGCAGTTCCTCAGTGACAACATCGGCGAAATAGCAACAGGGCACCTAAAGTATGCGGTTAAAAGAGCTTTCAGTGCATCAGAGGCACGTTGTCTCTTCGCCATCACCCCTATTTTACGTTCGAGAAATAAGGATAAAATATCCAAATTCACCTCATCGATATGTATCTACCAGTTTGACTGCAGCCTCGGAACTAGCTACATTGGTCGAACAATTAGGCAGGTTCACTGTCGTATTTCCAAAGAGTATCTCGCATGGTTAAGCAAGGGACAAACAAGATCTATTCGTAGCTCTGTTTTAGCACACCTCGTAAACAGTAAGTATAAAGTTGGTATTAATAAAGCGTTTAAATTTATTTATGGTATTCCGACCAATAGTAATTTTGTTTTACTAGTTCGTCTTCTACGTACAGCTGAAGCCAAAGGTATCCACCTAAATAAGTTAAACCTGTATGTTCAGAAGAAATTTGTACAGTCACTGTCCTTACCTTGGCCGTCGTTGCGTGGGTATATAAACCGGACTACTTCGCCCTTCCCCAAAATTATAATTTCCCTAATTATTTTATTATTTTTCTGACTACTTCATCTTTAATTAAAAGTTACTGTTGTCCAAATCATCCACATCACTACTTATCCGACTCATCTGTATTGCTGAAGCTTTGGTCTTCGAAGCAGAAAAACCAGATCTCTTTAGACAGAAAAATTTCGTTCAACCCCTCCATTTTTCATGGTCTTAATCCCTCTTTGCTAAAATATGGTAGTCACTAATCATATTTTGGCTCAAACTACTTTTCGTTTTGTTTATTCAATTTGTATACTCTTCCTTTATTATGTCAATTGTAAGTATTACTGTTCCCAGTCTAAATTGTCCCCGGTATTATTTCATTTGTTCCACTTGTCATTCTAGATCAATTTTGTTTTGCTACGTTAAATTCTATGTTTTCAAATTTCACACAATGTTACACAATTTTAACCCTCTCCCACGCTATTATGTGGTTGTGTATTAATGCATGCAGTTCAACTGCTGAGGTTTCTTTTCGAAATTACTTATCTTTATGGGTCAGTCCTTCTAACCTTAACTAAATTCGTATGTTCTGGCAGTCTGACTACCCCTATATAGTTGACCTTACAGTCACTGCAAGGTTTTTGAATTTTAATATTTTGTCTAATTGGATCAGCAGGGTCCTTTGACCTACAGACCATGTTCTACCTGAGTGAGTTTGTAGGTTTAAACGCCACTCTAATTCCTGCTTTTAAAGAATCCTACGTAGGGTCTAAGAAGTCCTTTCCTTATTCGATAAAACTGTAGATGTCTCATACACATAGGCCAAACCAGTAGATGAGGGGTAGTCAGACTGCCAGAACGTACGAATTTGGTTAAGGTCAGAAGGATTGCCCCCACGAAGATAAGTAATTTAGAAAAAAATCAGCAGCTGCACTGTGTGCATGAACACACAACCACACGATAGGGTGGGAGAGGGTTGAAATCCTAAAAAGTAATATAGTCAGATGGATAGAGTGGTTGATTACTGAACCCCTGTTCACCGGATCTACAGCCAACTCATGTAATAGGAATGACCCATCACTGGCTCCAGAGATATGAAAAATACAACTAACAATCAAGCCAAGAGATGAAAAATAGTGAAAATATGTAAATCAAGTTAGACATTTGTGTAAGTAACTTGATATGATTATGAACAATAAATTGTCCTCGCAACATCATCAGTAAATATTATTACTGTATAACACTGTGAGACTTTATCGAAATAAATTTTACCCACAGTGGAATTATGCTGCATACTCTGAGAAATTCGTTGATCGAATTAAAAAGTAAAGGTTACGTTGATGTTATGTAGCTAGAGATAGTTTTCATAGAGCCGTGGACCTAGGTTTTACCCTTATTGATACTCGCTAACATGTGTACATCTGCAACCATGATAGGACTGATACCCAGTCAGAGATCTGGATCCGCGTCGCTCAATATCACAGTCACAGACAATGACGTCTGGCTACTCTTGGTGATTCAACAAATCCTCTGCTATTTCATGAATAATACTGAAATTTATTATTCAATCAACTACAAGACTTTACTTTTAATTTCATCTTACTATGGACGGTGACTCCAAACAAGTAGACTTCACCAATAAAAAATGTAATTCATTTTCGTACCATCACTCTGTCTTGTTTCTATACGGGTGCCATGCTGATCTGAATTACGAATTCGAGGTTAGAAAACTAACTAACCTTCTTTGCACCGCTAAATAAACCCTTTCCTCCACCCTTACAACAACAACCTTTATTGTTACTGTACTTCTTATATTTATAATCCTCACAAATTTTTGTTTTTGTTTGTTTATCTTTTCATAATTGTGAACATCATTTAAGCTGTGTCATAACTGTTAGTTTTGCATTTCCCCTCACCGTACTATATCAGCAGAACATTTGATTCAATAATCTTTAAATACCAAAATTTCCAAACTGAGTCGGCAATACTGTTTGAAACTAACTCACTGTTATTATTATTATTTTCAATATTCTCAGTTCGTACTTCGAATATTTTTGACTTTATATAGTAAGCGTGGACAAATTCCCCCGGTTAATTTTGTTTTAATTTTTGATTTTATTTATATTTTGCCATTACTTCCCCGTTTCTAAAGCTTATGGAAAACTAGTACTTCGTATACTTGACCCTCCCTTAAAAGCTTTGAAGATCCCAAACAATTTGCCTATAGACAGGGTAGGAGCACTTTAGACGCTGCTGCCGTCTTACACAACAGTATCGTCTCATCATTATATAAAGGTGCCAAATACGTCCGCTGCACGTACTTTCGACTCTGTACCTAGATGTCTCTTGCTAAATAAGCTCTGGATGACACAAACTGAGTTTTGGTCACTAACTGGTTGCATTCCTACTTCTTTAACAGAATACAGTACACTGTATACAAAGGTAAATCCTCCTCTTCTGTCCTCACTGAAGCTGGTGTCCCCCAGGTGCTGTACTCTCCCCACATCTCTTTTTTTCTTTCTAAATGACTTACCATCTTCGAATGACATTATTTTTGTCTAATATGCTGACAATCTGACTGTATCTTTGCCTGTCAAGTGTCGAAGTGACTGCTCTAAACTAAATGGCTTTTTATCAGAAATCAGCCAGTGGTCCAAGAAAAATGGTCTTACCTTAAATCCTCTAAATGTCAAATGGTCAATTTCACCGTCAGGCATAAATCTGACCTAAACAAACTGGTTAGCCCTCACGAGGCGTGCAACATAGATGGCACTGAAATAGAAACCAAGTCAGAAATTAAATACCTAGGCATCATTCTATCTGCTGATCTTTCCTGGTCGTCTCATATCTTGATGATTTCTAAGAAAATATTCCATCTTACCTCCTACATTAAGAAGTTAAGAGATTCTGGTGTAACCCAACCCTTACTCCTACAATTCATTAACTGCCGTATTCTGCCTATTATTCTCTATTGTTCCCCCTTAGTTTTTCCTGGGCTACTGAACAAAGAATATACCTTATTACGCAGGATGTTAAACGTTGCCAGCAGGGTGAGAAACGTGCCACTTAACCAGTCTGTTAATATTCTTGTCGATAGCACTTGGACTCATGTGAAAAATGGGCTAAATCCATTTTATCTAACTCACACCACCCTCTTCATTCACAACTCTCCCCTAGTATCTCATCAGGCGAAACCTGAAGCCTATATAGGAAACTATATGCTCGCACTAGTAAGTACAAAAACGCAACCATACCCTACTTAGCTCGTGTTCTCTGTGATAAAGAAAGCATTAGGCGTGATACCTACAACTTATTAAATAGTCAGTAGAACAACTGAATTTCGTCTTTCCAACTCATATTATTTATAGGTACAACGTTTTCTTTCTTTCTTTTCCTTTTTTCTCTCTTTTTTTCTCTGTTATGTACTGCTTTGTTTCTTTCTTCCTTACAAACTCTATTTCAAACATTCTTCTTCGCTCTCTCACACTCTGTATATCTCGACCTTTTTGCCACCGCTTTCGCCAGTAAATATGCTAGAACCTACTTTCCTAACACCTTCAAACACTCTGTTCAATTTTCGGCTTTGCTACGAACATGCCAAATGTTGTTGTCATAATGAACTGAGATTACCTTAATCTATGTAGAATTTTATTTATTGATAATGTACCGACTGGATGCAATACTGTAGTTAAATGCTGAGAATTCCATTCTGTATCGCAAGTAGTTTTTGGAATAAATTAAATCATTATTATTATTGCTGGTATTTTTTCGTACTACACTCTTCGCAAATTCAGTTTTGATGGTCAGATATTAAAACACTTCATTAAAACAAATTTTGTCTAAAAATGAATAAAAAGATGGGTGGCCATCACAAATATGAGAGTTCAGTGACGAGTCTTGTACATTCTTTTCCTGAATAATACCATTTTTCCATATTTTGCCATCACTGAACATCTGTCTAACTATTTGAGTCAGTAAGCAAGCAATAACGCTTTCGGTTAACTTATTGATAGAATTGCTTTTCATATTTCATTATTTTGCAGTGCCGTAGAGTCAGTAAATGAGAAGAATCATTTGTTATATGCTCCTTGATTTCGCAGGTTCTTCGGCCAACATTTGCTTGTTGATAATGAAATCCCTCTGTAATTAACAAATCCTTCAACTTGATGTGAATTTTCTTTAAACATCTCTGCTACGAGTACACTATTAGTCTACCAAGTGAGTAGCTTATTCAGTATTCAGTATTTTCGATAAGGCGTATGAAGTATCTTATATTGCACACACATTTCATTATCACCAACGTACCACTTTAACTGATAGTGGTTCACATCAACGTATTCATTTTACCATAGATTTCATATTAAGCCGAACTCATCTTATCTAAGAAATCCATAGGTTGATGAACACTTTCAAATTCTTTGTTTTTAGAAATTAGCTTGCGTAAAAATGCTACCTTTAAAGGTGCCTAAATATAACAAGTCATCTCTACTCAAATTTTTAGTGCCTGTCTAACCAATTTATTTCAGCATGACTTTCCTTTCCATTTTTTAGATTTTCGTTACGTTCATCTCTAATATAAATTTATTTATTCACTATTATACTACTATACACAAACTGTTTTTCTTCTCAAATACACTTGAAAACTATTCATTCGCTCTGTTAAACACTTAACTACGCCAAATATATCTGTTTGTCAATCAGTAATGCAAAAAACACTTGGATGAATTCCAGAATATCTATAGTTTGGCAAGTGATTTACTTCAAAGCTTAATAATCTCTTATTTTGATTATACAGACTGGTAAAGAAATCTTGAAGAACCATTTAACTGTTCACTCCTTTAAACCTGTACAACACTGAAACTGTGGATTTTGCATTGAGAAGTGAAACAGTATCCACTGTATTCACTAGTCATCCAATAGTGTGTGTACGTTCGATAGAGTGTTAACGTAACACAGAAATTCCTAATACATACCTTTACTGGTTCGTCAGATGAAATTAGATAGTAATGAGATCAACCTTAGAATGTACAGCATAGAATCGATCTTAAATTGAGGACTATTTTTAAAATTCAATGAACCAATTAGTCAAATAATTCTGTATATAATTTTTATAAATTTTACCTTGTGACAACATGTATAGTTTCTTCAAGTTCACAGTTTCTTTGTCTTATTATCACAACACTTATTGTAGGCGTTTTAGGATTTGGATAATAATGGCTTGATTGTAGTTCAAAATGACTGATTGCTAAATAAAATGAAGAAGTTGTAGTAGTGAGATTATATACATGTAAATAAAATAGGTATGGTAGACTACTCATAAAAATCTTGGTGAAAAACTGAACACGTAGTGAATGAAATACATACTTTTTATATGCTCTCTATAAGTGGCATTCTGAGTGATTTTTATTCTAACCACGGGATGGTTGTACTGCGGGAGATCAGAGGAGTTCATCAATCCAGTCGAATTCCAGTTATCTCACCCTCAGCTGTCAATTAATTTATCTGTACTGAATGGATCAGATAGTGGATAGTCGGGCTTTCAAAGAACAAGAGACTGTATACTGTGTTTTAGTGTCATTTCACATCTCTGTATAACCTTGGACAGCTGCATGTTTTATATTATTCCTCAACTATTTTGGGCGATGTTAAGAAGACCTTGGACACCAGGTTCAGTAGGCTAGGTTGAAGAGTCAGCAGGACAAATGGCCAAACAACAGTCATAAGAGCTTTCTCTAGTTGAAGTTAACCATAATTGACCTTGAAGCCATTCAAGCAACGTAACTAACTGGTTTCCTAAAGTACCACATTCCAAAAGTAACTATTTGCCTCAGAGCGATGCACTCAAACTTCTCAAAAGGTTTGAAGGATCAGTCACCAATAGAATGAGTAGTTTAAGAGTCCCTTTAACAATCTTTTTCCACGCCTATACCCTTAATATGTTATGTGACTCTTCAACAGGAAATGTCCCTGAACCATAGTTTCTTACTGTGTTAATCATTAGCAGAGAGCACTTTCGACATACAATAAATTAAGAAGGTCAGAGTTATAAAAGATGTGGCAGTGTTTGGGACTTTCTCTAAGCTTTTCAGACTAAGGTTGTAATAAAGTAAAACTACCCAGCTAGGAATGAATGTTCATTAATTGACTAAAACAACTAAACTGACTGTTTGTTAAGTGTCATTTTATGTGTTATGTACATAATTATTTATTGTCTTTTTCACCTACTTCACCTTACTCCATCATTGCCTTTATTGTGTGTAAACCTTTTGTCATTTACACTAAGCTTATTATTTCCCTAGTATTAGATAACAGTTCACAATTTAACCCATTTAGTGATAGAATTAAGTGCATATGTAATGAAGATTGTATTGAATAGGAAATCAAAGATCATAAAAATACCCTGCTACAAAATGGTTATCCCACCAATTTTGTAAAGAAGAATATTTCCAAAAGAACTGATAAAATTAAGCGTGATACGGTGAATAAGGAAAAGCTTTATTTAAGAGTACAGTTCAAAGGTGATATACGCAGTAATATATTAAGCCGTAGGTTGATCAGATCAGTTGAAAGAACTTTCATTACTGCAGAAATAAACATCAGTTTCCCAACCAGACATTTACTGACACAATGCACCAGAGATAAATTACCAAAGTCAGCGACATCAGTATATGTACACAAATTCAGCTGCTCATGTGGGGCTATTTATATAGGCCAAACTCAGAGGAATTTATCCTTACGCACTCGTCAACATGTTCCTGTTTGGCTTGAAAATATTGAAATAAAACAACAAATGGTACCATTTTGTCTGAACTAGTACATGAGTCATTTAAGGTTGTATATCGAGAACATTGGGGTTCGAACCCCAGTGAGTGGGTACTGCTGATGATTCCCAAACTTAGATGAAATGGCTGTCCAGTACTCCTTGCTGGTTTTCAATGCTTCTCTAACTGATATCAATCCGTGAATAACTCGTAAAAACAAAACTAATCCTTACAAACCAACTATAGAAAATTTGAATTTCGCATTTTTTTTCTGTCTACAATGGAGACCATTCCTAATATTTTACATGTTCTTGGGCGTTTACTTTTCGAAAGCATATAACATATTATTCTGGTCGAATTCCTTTTTTCAATGCCAAAAGTAAACTAACTAAAGTTTAATAATTAAAACTTTAATAAATATTTATCACCATGGTGACGATAATAAACAAGAAAAGCAAACAAGTTAAGATAATCGAGATTAATTACAAGTGATAAAGTTATCTATTCAACATTTTAATTACTTTTTTATATTAAATATTACAGAAATTGAATTTTTGTTATTAATTGTTTGAATTTTATGATGTTTAAATTGAGACATTTATGGCAATTTGATCAAGATTTATTATGGATTTTGTCAGTTTAATGATATATATTTTCTTCTTAAAATTAATTCCGGCGTGAATATGAGCTATAAAAAAGTGATCTGTCCCACTCTCAACTTATTGCTAGTAATTAGAGTTACTCTTAATTACACCACAGAATCGGAACAACTGCTGTCATGGACAGCCTTTTACTTGCAAGCAATACGAACTGATGTCGAATCGAGAATCGGGAAGGCAGGAAACACATTCACTCATCAACCTGAAACAACCAATCTGGAAATCTTCATCACTCAGCCAGAATCAACAACAAAATTCAGTCGCATTTTCAATACAAACGTCAAGTCAGTCAGTTCTTCTATACGGATCAGAAACTTGGCGGGGGGTCACAAAGAATATTTCCAACAGCCTATTGCAGACCCTTATCAACAACTAACTGTCTTCGCTGGCTCTATACTGAATATCAGATGGCCGGGTCGGAAAGAATCACCAACAAGAAACTATGGGTGGGAACAAACAAAACAAGAACCAATCGCCGCCGAACAAATATGCAGGAGAAAGTGGAGATGGATTGGACACTCGCTGGCTGAGGAGGCCGCTGGGTGGTATCGCTTGAGCGTCAGGCCATTCTCTGAGTGGAACCAGACCGAAAGGGAAGAGGCGAGTGGGACGTTGGTGCAGGGGTGACATGGAGGAGATTGTGTGAAGAGGAGTTGAAAGAGTATGGACTAACATGGATGCAGGTGAAAAGTACAGCAGAAGGAAGACAGAAGCAAGTGGAGACGTGCAGCTGAAGCCCTATGTTCCACTAGGAACCCAAGGGAAAAATAATAATAATCCGAATTGAAGGAAAAGCCCATGAGGTAATCTTTTTTTCATCCTTACAGTTACATCGAGTAGTTTTTATGAGCATTGCATATCAGTAACGCAACAAGGTACACTATGCTCAGTTTAAACTTAACTTCGATAGTGGCTGAGTTAGGAAATAGCTGTGATATACACGAAAGTGGAACCCTTGTATTACATAAATAAAGTATAATTATATTTCAATGGTTTACACACAATAATAAGTTTTGTTATCCCTAATATTTCGAGCAAAATTACTACCGGTATTCACACCACTGTTGGAATTGTTTTGTTCACACATTCGTGATTTGTACTCATTAAATACAGTTCATTCTTTGTTCATTCATTCTTCTGTATTCAGACTATACTTTAGGTTGTTGACAGTTGTACTTAGTCACCCTTGTTACATGTATCCGGTGTGACCTTAGTGAATATAGATTCTCAAGTACTGGTTTTGTGGGGATTTTGTTTGACTGCACGGAGGATTTCATCATGAGCTGACATCAGTTACAGAACCACTGGGGTTCTAGTGGTAAGCCGTGACTAGTAAGGTACAGCAGTTTGAAGATCAGGCAGTAAGTCATCGAAGATGACATTGCGAAATGCTCACACTATATCGTGAATTGGCAGAGGTTAGAATTCAAAGACCATTGGATCGGGTCCCAATGGCTCAATGGTCTACAAGCTCGCTCACCTTGTAACCAGAAAGTCCTAGTTCGAACTCCGGTGGGTGCACACTGCTGAAGAGCTCCAAACTAGCATGAAACAGCTGTCCAGTACTCCCAGGTTTTCCAGTGGTTCTCTAACTGATGTCAGCTCATGATGAAATCCTCCATGAAATATAGATCCTGTTATAAGTTTCCCTTTCCATTTGTTTATATTAGTTTTTAGAATACAAACATTGTCCCAAACGCCATTGTGGTTTTGTCCTATGTCTTACATTTAATTCAGTCGCAGACAACAAAGACTGATAAGTAAAATAAAATAAAAGCCTTGTGCATAAATACGCTAGATATTAATTATAAATGATAGGTGCAGTTACCTTCTTCAGGAACTAATAGAACTCGAGCCACAGAAGGATTACCCAAATCATTTGGTGATGCAACTGAAAAATGAGTATTTCCTTTTGATATTATCTCCAGTTTCTTATCAGAATCTACATTCAAACGACATAAAATTCCACTTGTTCTCGTGTATATTCTTCTGTTATGTTTGCATTCAGTTTAACAGTAATCTGTCGTTCTGTGTCAGCCTTTCCAAAATGCTGTAAATAAATAATATAGTCTGATTTCGTAAGAAATATAAAGACCAGTTTCTAGTTAGTATAATAAAACTAGTGTGCTAATATTAAACACAGAATAATCTAATCCAACTAATTATTATATTTTTATTGTTCCCTAGGATTCTGAGGAAACATAAGACTTCAACAACACGTCTCCACTTCGTTCTATTTGGTGTTGTCCTCTTCATCTGGGTCCACAATTGCATATAGTCGCTTATCTCCTCTTATCTCCTCCATGTCATCGTCGCACTGACGAATCACTCATCGCTTCCTATCTGGACTCCATTCGACCAATGGCCTGCATTGCGGGTGATGTCAATCTACGGTCTCCTGAACGTATGCCTGACCCATCTGCATTCTCTCTTACATATTTGTTGAATGATTGGCTCTCATTTGTTGGGCTGTTGCCAGCCAGAGTTTCTTGCTGCCAGTTCCTTCTGGATGGCCATTTGATCTTGAGTATCGAACCAGTGAAGGCAGCTGTTGATGAAGGTCTGTAAACTGTTGCAATTCCTTTTCGTGGCGCGCGCGTGTCAAGTTTTTGACCCATATCGAAGAAGTGACTGACTTCACATTTGTTCTAGTAATCCGAATCTTGTTCTTAATGCGAAGTTAGCGCAGAAGATTACCAAATTGGTTTCAGGCTGATGAAGGTCTGACCTGTCTTTTTGATTCTGGCTGGCTTTTACATCATTATCCGTTCCGCTAACTAATTAGATAGATGCGAAATTCACAACACTCTTTCGCTGGCTCATGATCAACCAAATGTCTAACTTCCTCTTGCAAATTATAAAATGACAGTAGTGACTGCATAATTCATGAAAAGAATTTCTAGCACGTAAACTGAAATTATACTTACAAAAGAGTAATGTATTAATCTTACTTTAGTTACTTTCAGTAGTGAAATCAGTAGGAGCAAAATGTACTCAAATATTCGTGTACAAATTAGCACTATATCGGTGTTACTTCTATCACGAGCTAAAAGTCATAGATCACTAATCAGTTGCCTAGTCTTATTTGCATGATTTTTAGTGATACACACCAACATCTAAATCCAGGATAAAGCCATGAATCATCAGGTTCTAAGGTGCGAATATAATTATTCAAAATGAATTGCAGTTCATTGTTCAGTGTTTTCCAAATTCAAGAGATTTTTATCCTTGCAAATCATGGAAGTGCCACTTAGTGTAAATAGATTATTCGAAATACATTCATAGAATTATTTCGATCAATCAGCAGTGTGAACACATTTCTACTATAGCATGCTGTCTGTCTGTGTTATATGAAAGTCTTTGTACGATATAAATGTTTCTCAGTTGCTGGTTTGCAGGGATTTGATTGGTTTCAGGATTTCATCGTGAAATCACATAGGGTAGGTAGTTACCTGGGTTCTAGTGGGAAGTCATGACCAGTGGGGTACAGCAGGTCCGGTGTGAGCACAAATATTCGCCGATGACACTGGTTATCGGTCATGCCATGAGATGTCAGAAGTTGTAATTTATGAGCTGGTTCCAGTGGCTTAGTGGTCTAAGAGCTCGCCTTGTAACCAGAAGACCCTGGGTTCGAACCCCAGTGGGTACGTACTCCTGAAGAGTCTCAAACTATGACAGAATAGCTGGTTGTCCAATGCTCTTAGCAGGTTTTCCAGTGGTTAGCTAACCAATTTCAGTTCATAATGTAATCTTGAAATAAGTCTTTTTGTCATTCATTTGCATTCCAAATGAAACATAAGGATTTCAGCTTGAACTCTTTGTTTTTACAGGATGGGGATGCTAGGCTCAAACCCGACCTCCCTCTTTACCAGGCTTATAACGGACTAAGTGGGGTTTAGGAGTCCGTCGGCTAGGAATCAAACGCAGTCTACGTGCATGGCAATACTGAATTACCGGCGTGCAAAATACACGAGCAATATTCAACAATAATTCATCTTTTGAATGATACCTTCATTGATTTAGGATTCGCCCCTTATTTACCATTTAGTACTCATAAAACTTCTTATGGTTCTAAGCAACCATGATAGCCTTTTGACTAGACAGCCAATGGAACGGAATCCAATGGTCAATGAAGTCTTACTTTTGCTGATTTATGATATAGTAAGCTTCGTGAAACAGGATGAAAATTTCATTGAATTGACACTGAAGTACTCAATATCGATCGCTTCACTAAATTTTATTACTATTGTTCCCTTGGGTTCCTAGTGGAACATAGGGCTTCAGCTGCACGTCTCCACTTGCTTCTGTCTTCCTTCTGCTGTACTTTTCACCTGCATCCATGTTAGTCCATACTCTTTCAACTCCTCTTCACACAATCTCCTCCATGTCACCCCTGCACCGACGTCCCACTCGCCTCTCCCTTTCGGTCTGGTTCCACTCAGAGAATGGCCTGACGCTCAAGCGATGCCACCCAGCGGCCTCCTCAGCCAGCGAGTGTCCAATCCATCTCCACTTTCTCCTGCATATTTGTTCGCGGCGATTGGTTCTTGTTTCGTTTGTTCCCACCCATAGTTTCTTGTTGGTGATTCTTTCCGACCCGGCCATCTGATATTCAGTATAGAGCCAGCGAAGACAGTTAGTTGTTGATAAGGGTCTGCAATAGGCTGTTGGAAATATTCTTTGTGACCCGCCCGCCAAGTTTCTGATCCGTATAGAAGAACTGACTGACTTGACGTTTGTATTGAAAATCCGACTGAATTTTGTTGTTGATTCTGGCTGAGTGATGAAGATTTCCAGATTGGTTTCAGGTTGATGAATGTGTTTCCTGCCTTCCCGATTCTCGCTCGATTTCATATCCTCGTCCGTTCAGACTACCTGTAGTTGAGACATTGCTCCCTAGATCAGTGAGTGAATGAAGTAACCTCTTTCAAATCCCTCCCGTTGATGGTGAGTGACGCTGGATGTTGCTGTTGTTGTTGTTGGTTGGTTGGTTATTTCTATAACCTCCGTCTTGTCTATGTTCACCTGGAGTCCTGTCTTTGCCGGCTGCTTCTTCGACCAGTTTGTCGGTTTTCGCTTGTAAGTCTTCGATTTTGTGTGACATCAAACATAAATCATCTACACGCGAAATTCAGGTCTTCTAGATTCTTCACGTCGGTCCAGGATATTCCTGTCTTCTCGTTTCCCACTCACAGTCCACCACAATTAGGAATATCATTGGTGATAATAGGCAGGCAGCCTTGTCTGACTCCTGTATTTACTCCAAACGCCTTGCTGAGTTTTCCGTTGGGGATCACTTGACATGTGCCGTTGTCGTACAGCTGTTGAATAAGGTTGATGAATATTTGGGGTACGCCGTAGTACTCGAGTAATTTCCAAATTACTTCACGGTCAACGATGTCTGGTGAAGGCTTTCTCGATGTCTATAAAGTTGAGGTAGAGGTTTGAACGCCATTCCATGCTTTGTTCTGTGATGATGACGCGTAGAGATGCAATTTGTCAGAACATGATTTGCCTTTCCTGAATCCAGCTTGTTCTGGTCGGAGTTCTGCATCCAGTGCGTCCTTTATTCTCTCCAGGATGATGCGACTCAGGATTTTACTTGGCGTCGACAGGAGCATGATTCCTCGCCAGTTCTTGCAGAGTGAGGCCTAAGTCGCCCTTCTTTGGTAGTTTCACGAGGTAACCTTTCCTCCAGTCAGTAGGCACCTTTCCCTCCTTCCAGACCTTTTGCAATAATGGAGTGAGTCAGCATGTCTGCTGTAGTCTCTGGGTCCGCTTTCAGTGCTTCAGGGGGTATTCCATCTGGTCCAGCTGCTTTTCCAGCTTTCAGAAGCTTGATTGCATTCAAGACTTCAGCTCTCGTTGGAGGATTGGTGTCAACTTGCAGTTGTGTGAGTGCTGTTGTTGGTATTTCTGGACGGGTTGCAGGTGATGGTCGGTTCAAGAGTCCTTTGAAGTGATCCGCCCATTGTTTAATCTGTCTTTCTTCCTTGGTAATTGGGTTCCCTTGGCTGTCTTTTATAGGTTTCGCTTGTGTTGATCTCTTCCCGGATAGAGATTTGGTTATCTGATATAGTGTCCTCAGGTCCCTTTTGCCTGCTGCCTTTTCAGCTTCAGTGGCCAGATTGTCGTAGAATCGTCTTTTGTCCTTCCTAGCACTCTTCTTCACTTCTTTGTCCAGTGCTGTGTAAGTTGAGCTCATCGTCTCCTTCTCCTGTCCGTCCTTGCATTGAATCATTTTCTCTTTCACCATTCTCCTCTCTTCTATTAATTTCCAAGTGTCCGTTGAGAGCCATTCCTTGTCTTGTCTCTTCTTTCTTCCTAGAACCGTTGAACACGTTTCGTTGAGAATCGCCTTCAGAGACTTCCAATGTTCTTCCACGCATGATTCTTCAGTGATGTCGCGTAGTGTTTCCTGCTTTGCTCTGACAGTTGCAGTGAAAGTGTCTTTTGTGGTTGTGTCCTTCAGTAATTGAGTGTTGAACTTGCATTGTGGCCTATCCCCAGCTATCCTCGAGGCTTTTAGCTTCACCTTGAAAGTCCCTTCTACTAGATAGTGGTCTGAACCCACATCTGCTCCTCTCCTCGACCTTGTGTCCAGTAGGCTCCGTCTCCACTTTCTTGAAATTGAAATGAAGTCTATTTGGTTTTTGGTGTTTCCATCTGGTGAAATCCATGTCGTCTTGTGTATATCCTTGTGTTTGAACACACTGCCACCAATCACCAAATCATTGAAGGCGCAGAAGTCTGAGAAGAGTTCACCATTGTCGTTCATTTCACCGAGGGCCTCACGACCCATGGTGAGTTCTCTTCCTGTGTTGTCTCCTCCCAGCTTCGCATTCATGTCGCCCATCAGGATTTTGATATCGCCATTTGGGACGTTGTCCATTATTGCTTGTAGTTGTCTGTAGAACGCCTCCTTCTTCTCTTGTTCTGAGACGTTTGTAGGCGCATAGCATTGAATGACTGTAACTTTCCTTCCTTTTGAGTTGAACCTGGCTGTCATTATCCTGGAGGAGATTGGTTCCCACTGCATGAGAGCTTTGGCTGCTGTTGGTGACATCATGATGGCCACTCCCTCGGTGTGCTCATGGTTGTCCTCTGGGTGGCCGGAATAGATTATTCCCTCCCTTGGCAGTTGGCACCTACCGCACCCATTCCATCTGCTCTCGCAGATTCGCAACACTTCTATTCTATGTCTCCTCATTTCTGCTGCTACCTGGGCAGCCTTTCCAGTTTCGTACATTGTACGAACATTCCATGCACCCATCCTTATTTTTGCTTTCATCGAAAGAAGGCACATCGGCTGACTGGCTTCCCTTTCACCAGCCTGCGTCATTTCACTTCCCCGATTCCAGCGAAGAATAGGGTTATTGTTTATATTTTTAAAATTTTTAATATATTTGTGCGTTGAAGTTTCTGTAGCGATTTGGTTAAGTTTCGGGGTTGGAGTTGCTAGCACCACGCCCCAACCCTCCCTCTTTATCCGGGCTTGGGATCAGCTAGAAAACTAGCAAGCTAGTAGTCTAGGCGAGGTTTCACTAAATTTTAGTCTCATGAATTATAATGTACAAATATACTCACAATATATCCTTTAGGAGTAGGCATATAGTGTAATCCAGGTAAAGCTGTGCCAGGTCTTACTTCGAAAAATACTGTTAAACTCTCTTTATCCATCAAATCATGTTTGCTACCATTAATATTGTTTACTTCACTTATTTCCTCATTCGGACTGGTTGACTCTTTTGAAGTGTTCTGCAAAAGAAAGAATAACTTGTAAGGTTTTATCACTTTTAAAAGTTACTGTATAGGTAGAATTTTTCAGTTTAAAGTGTTTGGTTTTAATATTTCGGTAAAATAAGTCTTCTTAATCATACTTCACTCGCTAACAAAATGAAAAATGTATAACACCCAATACGTTATACTATGGTACAGTGGAGAAAGAAACTCGTTACTGGAATCTTCATAAAGAGACAGGTAACTGAATTCATAAAATTAGCTTAAAAATCATATCTCCTAAATCAAAAATTTAATTTTTCTTTGAGTAATATAATTCTGTTTAGTATCTAAAGAGGACATAAAAACACCCTGTGTATTATTATAAACGATTTTGTATTTCTGAATTAATGAAAAACAAGACGATATTGTTTTTACTGACGTTTCTCTCTTTAATGCTGTTAATAGATTCATCAAAATCCACTCAGCTTATATATAACAACTTCATCATCGTTCATCAACATGGGGTAAATTTTGCGACGTCAAGTTGGCCAAATGGTAAAGATAAGAAGTTGCTTATCACATTTGTATTGATTTTGTCACCTCATTGAGGGAGGGCGATGTTGTAACTAGGTCAAATTCTGCTTTGGTCAATCACTCCTATTCAGACAATTTGGATTCCATTTTATATGAAGTACTCTCGATAATATTAAACGTTCTTTGTGATTTCTGGATTATTTCAATATTGTCAAAATCAGTTTTGTGGCCTGATTCTACAGCGTGTAGACGGGCTATGGCTCATGACTTTTCAAGCTTTCCTAGTACACTAACTGGACTTCTCGGTGGTCGAACAGATTCCCTACAGAGTTTATTTCTCCCGTTTTTGATTTCTCGCTATGTTTGTATGATGTATATCGCATCACACTCTAATCATTTTATCTTACAGACACAATTAGATAGAGAATCTTTAGGGATTTAGTCTTTTATATGGATAAGGTTGCTTTGCAGTATGTGCGTGTCTGATGTTTTGAAGAAAACTCCGATGTCGTCCCTATTGAGTACTCTTCTGATATCGTCTGACGTCTCTGATCTATATGGAATGACAACTTTTGGGGTCCATGCCTTTGGAATACGTTTTCGACCATATTTAATGTCGTTGTTGCTTTCGTTGATGAAGTTCTTTGAGTCTCAGTAATGTTCGATATTTCTTCTTCTTTCTCCTTCTCATCCATTACCAAGGAGTGTGCTCAACTAAGGAGACTTGAAACAATTGATACCTTTGAGCTGATGGGTTGTGATGACCTGAAGTCTAAATATTTGGTGGAGTGTGTTTTCTTTATGAATATAGATATGTTAAAATATCCGTTCCCCCCCCCCTTTTTTTAACTGGGCAGTCTAGAAATGGTAGTTTACCGACGTCTGATTCTAATTCCGAAGTAAAATAGATGCTAGGGGGAGATAGACTGTTCAGTTTCTCCAAGATTGAATCGTGTAGATCCCGTTTTAACACAACAAAATCCCCTAAGTATTTGAAAGATGCTTATCAAAAGTGAAGAAACTGTTTGGTTTCTTTCACTGGATGGTTCAGAAAATTTATTTCTGTCTAACAGTGCATCTTTCACTTTCTTCCTCTATGTAGTCTTTTCGATCCAAAAGAACTTTACCAGCACCTTTACTAGGATAAGATTTCCGAAAATCGGTACTATCTCTCAACCCTTTTAATTGTTCTCGATGTCTCTTTGTTAGATGATTACAGTCTTTTATTTTTGTATTAAGATATTGATGGCAATACGTGAGTACAGAACTTCTAGATTCTCTCATAAGCATTTAACGGGCTAGAGTTGTTTAATATGCATTAAATTATTTCTCCTAATTAATTTCCTTTCTGGGTGTTGTATACAAAGCAGAATCGCGAACGAGAGTGAATTCTTTTTAGTTTGTAAAACCGACGTCGTTATTCTTTTAATTTATATGTTACCATTGGATTGCGACTTATTCCTCAGTATCACCCTGATATATCTTCTTGATCTAATAACTATTACTAATTAAATGCAATGTAAGTACTTTTGGAACAGAAATACTTAGAGAATTGATTCAGTGTTCAAGACAAAAGTGTAGTATTTACAGTCTTTAAACAGAATCTCTTTAGATAAGAATGAATTTGTAAAGCTGAAAGCTTCCAGGGAAATAAATGTTTTACTAATTTTCTAATTATCATCTGCAGTGTATTTTGAAGTTTGAAGTTAGCTGGTGGATGGTGACTAGCAGTGAAATCCAGGATTTATTCATTTATTTATTTTGTATATCCTAAGAGAATTCATCATGGGTTGTCTTTTTAAAAGCCCTTCAATAAGGCTACGTGATTACTTCTTACTGGACTGATTTGTTGACTTGATTCTTGTTTACGCACAAAGAGAAAAGACATCTGACTCGTAAAGAATTTAGTTATGACTGCATGCGAAAAATTAGACTTAGCTAGTTATCTAACTTATTTAATATATATACGTTTTAAAAATTATTTTTACCCCTCACAAAAGTGATATCTTACATGTTTAATGTATAGTTAGCTTAAATAAAACAGATACTTTTTTTATTTCCTTTACATTCCCAGTGGAACATAGGGCTTTAAGCTAGAGGCTTGAGGTTTCGGCAGCAATGATGTTTGCTTTTTTACGGGATGGGTTGCTAGCCTCATGCTCAACCTTCCCTCCTTGCCGGCTTTACCACCCGTTAGCTAAGTAAAGGAGTGAGTCGGCCGGCGACCAAAACCCGGACCACATGCGTGGGTGGCGAGCATTCTACCGCTGTGCCACCAACGCAGAACATACACTATTCTAACCCAATTACTGAAACACAGATAGTCATGATTAATATATAGCCAAATGCTGCAAAGAAATTAATCAACGATATAACTTCATAACTGAAAAGTACTACTTGTAAAGCAATAAATAATTACACAATTGATTCAGAATGACATTCTGTCAATCTGTCTGCTGCTTAATTGACACTTAAATGTTTGGTTTATTCTCCACAGGTACGACGATGGTATTCACTTTCAAAATATCACTATCCATAAATTTTGGTTTTCATTGCTTTCATCATTTTAAAATTCTAAGAAGTACAAATTTTCCTCCACTTGAAGCTTCTAAATATTTTGACACAACCGAAACAATCATGTTTTTATGTGTTTTACTGATAAGGATGAAGGTATACTTGTAACCTTCGTTCACCTATTAATGTAGGTATCTTAGGATTAAAAGATACCAAAATTGTAATTGTGTAGGAAGTGTAAATTATGTTGTTTATAAGAACCGTTTACCCAACATTCAGGTATTAAAATTACTAAAAAATAACAACCACAGTTTAGTCATCTTATTCTACAAATTTTTCTTTATAGTGTGACCAGAACTGTGTTGTTCTTAAGTAATTCTTAATGCTAACAAGATTTAGTCAATTTTAGTTGATCAGACACAGACCTACCAGTTTATACTTTGAGAATTTGGCTTAAATAACTATCTTTTCCTCAGGAGTTTTATTTTGGAAAACACAAAATTCCTCAGCTTATCTACAAGCATTTCAGTCTCAAGCTAGAATGCTTCTAGGCACAGTTATACCGCCCTCTGATTCTCCTAAATGGTCATTGAAAGTTGGTCTGAACGATAGGTACTCTTTTCAATACATTCTATTTAAGTCCTTACAGTTATATATTAAAAATTGGTATCATTGCAATAATAGCAAGATATGCAATTGATACATTCTACTGTAGACAAAGATGAATTTCCAGCCGTCTGGTATAAACAGTCGTGAATGTTTTGGCAAATGTCATTAGTCTTCATGTAGAAGAGGAATCCCACAAAGCACATAATCACTACTTAATATCTCACAGCTGGAAATAAACACGCAACTTCTTAACTTGCTTTATATATATATATATATATATATATATATATATGTTCTCATTGCCTCATGCTTTTAATTGCAACTTTCCATATATATCCAGGTTAGGCGTCACATCACTTCGACTGCTCGTGTTTGGTGCTGATGAGATTAGAAGAAATTCGGTTATTAAGCTCTCTCTCTCCACCTAGTTATCTCGCTTTGTAACACATTTACCCTATTCTACCCTTTTGTGCAATTATTTACAAATGAATGCATTGCAACTGCTGAGCAGTTTCCTGGATTATTTAACTAAGCTTGGTTAATCATTCATTCAAGATTTAGCTGGATTTCTATGTTTCGATCTACTAGTTCGATGTATGCAATTGACCTCACATTCATTATATGATATTTGGTTAATTATATAATTTTTCCCAATCAAGTCTATCGGATCCCTAAGCCGACAAAGGCTTTCTCTGAGTGAGGTTTTGGTTTAAATGTCACCCTAATTCCAGCTTTATTAAGTACACTATAGAAGGTCTTACCTAGATTGTCAACATAATGGAATTATGCCTCACAGCATAAGGAGGCCTGTAAAGTGACAAGAATAAATACGGACATAATCATCATTAGACTAGAATATTCCTCATTCAGACCGACTTTTAACTTATAGCACAAAAGTATTTCGGACTCTAAAATCAAATAATTCTACGCATGAAGTGATATATGCAATATGCTTATTGTCTACATTAAATATTCTACTCACTTGTCAAATGGTACCTAAGTTACCGAATAGCTCTTTTTTCCGATTCCTGATATGATACAAAAGTTGCCCATCGCATCAAAATTAAGAGAATGCATTATATTAAAATTAAAGAGAATACCCTTTCTTTTTCATTTTTGAAGACTTTACAGGACTTCATCATGAGCTTACATTAGTTAGAGAACCACCGGAAAAACTGGGAGTACTGGACAGCTGTTTCGTCCTAGTTTGGGACTCCTCAGCGGTACACACCCACATTGCGGGTTCGAACCAATGACCTTCTAGTTACAAGGCGAGCTGGTAGACCATTGAGCCACTGGGACCCGATCCAATGGCCAGTGCATGAATTCCAACTTCTTTCGATTCACGACATAGTGAGACCCCTAGCCAATGTCTTCGGCGAGCTCGCCTTGTAACCAGAAGGTCCTTGATTGGAACCCTGCAGTGTGGGTGCGTACTGTGAGGGGTCCCAAACTAGGACGAAAGAACTGTCCAGTACTCTCAGGTTTTTGAATGGTTCTCTAACTAATGTCAGCTCATGATGAAATCCTGTAACCAATCAATTAAATCCCTACAAACCAATACTTGAATTTTAAGACTTTCTTCACTGAAATTGTAGATGTTTTATTGATACGTCATCCTTTGTTATTATGAAGCACCAGTGTCATTCATTTGGTGATACACATTTGATTACTGAAGCTTAGGCTTTATTGCTTTTACCCTAAATAATGTAATATTGGGCATTATTCCTCTCTAATGTAATTCATATCATTAGTGAGTCATAAATATTGGTTTCAACTAATAAAAATGCCATTTCATAATTCGATATGCATTTATGCCTGGTGGAGGAACAGTATCTACTGTCCTGTAGACTTTTATATTTCTTCGAACTGTTGAACATGTACGACTTCGTCTTAAATTGAATACCTTCATAATTAGATAGTTGAAATTCAACGTGGTATCACAGAGAGATTTCAGTGGAGACTGTTCTTAGGAACTCACTGTACCAAAATCAATAGTGTTAACTGAAAACAGAGTCAAGTGTGCTTTACACTAACTCCTATGAAGCTCACTGAATCAATATCAAGGCATTTTATTTAAAAAAAACTGTGAACTTACTTCTTCTATAACAGCTTCATGCTGTATATTTTCAAAAAGAGACTCTCTAGAAACCTTGTCATGAAAGTCTCTACTTGAATAAGATCTAGAGTAAAGTAAATCAATATGAATGTTAGGGTATTTTTATTTATCCAGAATATTTGTAAGAAAGGCTTCATGATTATAAATAACCTTAAATATCTATACAGTTGTTAATTAACTAATTAATCTGTTTTCTTTAGTAGTAAAAGATTTAGAACACAATTTCAAGCTAATGAGGCCATCTCTTTGGATTGAACGAATTCGTCATAGTACAGTTTTTTTCCTTATCAAATGTTATTCATTTAATATAATATTTATCCGATTTACTATTTTTAGAACTCTTCATTATTTGAATAATAAGGAGATATTGCCGATTCACTGAATCCCTATAATTCTGTCTCACGTAGAATGAAAACGTGTTGATTCCTAGTGGTTATACATTCCAAACTTTCTACTTCTTAAGCTTTATGTCCTTATGAAAACAGGATAGAAATCAATTTAGAAACATCTGGTAAGTTGTTTTCAGGACGAGTTAGAAACACTAAATGCTAAGAAGCGAGGAACAGTTGTGTATTCGTAGTTTGATGAGAACTATCATGTTTCAAAGGAAAATCTTATCTAGAAAATAAATGTCTTCACTTATACGGATATAAAGTCGATCTATTTATCATAATGGTAGCATATTTTCAAGGAGTTGCTTTCTCAAATCATAGTACCGAAATAATTCCTTCAGATCTATTTTGCGATATATACAAATATTTGGCTCAGTGGTGGAATACTACTCGCCAGTCACTCCAGAGGTCGAGGCTCGGTTTTTGACCAACTTACTCTTGAGTCCTGTCTAGTCTACTAGACGGTAGTGAGCCAAGAAAGTAAAGTAGGTTGGAATTTAGACTATGAACCCCACAGCATATAAACAACACCGTTTCTTCTGAAGTTCGAAACTTCAAGCCGTGTGATCCACTCGGAAAGCAAAGGAACAATATATGTATATATATATTCACATATACAGAGACTGAATGCAATCTTCGGTAGTGTGTCGACTAAATGATTAACTACCATAAATTGTGCGTACAACACTGGGTATCCAATTGTGTTCCCCTTTCATGGATGCCATATGTTTTTAGCAAATGATCAGATATCACACAGTTATATGAATTACGTAGGTCGTGATGAAGGAGGGTTACATTGTTAACCATATAATTTCCCGTTTATAGTGTAAGTTGGTCTGATCCCCTCCTCGTCCGATTTTTACTTTAAAACCAAATTAGAATGCTTTTCGTTACCACTTAATCTTTAATAATTATTGTTCTTATTTACTCCTGTTTTAATGTCATTTCCATTATTATTTGTATTATTATTGTCTCCTTTAGTTCCTAGAGGAACAGAGGGCTTCAGCCGCACATCTTCATTGCGTCCAGTTCACCACCAACGTTTTCACCTGGCTCCACGTCTGCCCACATGCTTTCATCTGCTCTTCGCATGATCTCTTCCATATCACCCTCGTACTGATAATCAATCAGCCACTCCCATTTTGGGTTCCACCCGAGCGATGGCCTGGCGTGTCATGTCACTTGATGGTTTTCTCAGATTATGACCAGTCCACCTCCGTTTCTTCCTGCCTATTTGTAGCACAGTTGATTCCTAGTTGGTTCGTTCCCAGAGATCCCTGTTGTTGGTCTTTTCTGGTCATCTAATCTCGAGAATTGAGCGAAGGCAGATGTTGATGAAAGTCTGTAGTTTGTTCGAAGTGCCTTTCGTGACGCACCAAGTCTCTTATCCATAAAGTAGCTTCATTTCTATTACCTCCTATTGTGCGGTGGTGGCACAGTGGTTAGGACTCTCGCCGACCATGCACATGGTCCAAGGTTCAATCCCCTGCCAACGCACACCTGAAATCTATGGTTGGCCTGCGAAGTTTGGGCTACCGATATCCATGCTGCAAATTCCTTACTTGTACCAAAAATACAGTGTGGAATCAAGTTGTAATCAAAAATAAAAATAAAAAATTATCAGTATGACATATAGACATTTGATTTAAAAGTTAAAAAACCTAAAAATGCTATAACTTTTAATTCTATGACCATTCTGTATTTATCTGACACTTAATTGTTTGGGTGAGATATATAAAGCATACCTTCAGTTTTACAATACTAAAACTACAGGAGCGCAAAGAAAATCAAATTTACAAACAACCATTATCTGCCAACACTTAAACTGTACTGCTTACCTTAGATAGATGACGGATAAAATGACTTCCTCAATACCATAGTGTACTGTGTATGTATGCGCGTCGAAGAATACTTTGCCTTCATTATAATGTCCTTCAAAGTCGTAGGAAATCAAATAATAATAATACCCACTGGTTTAACAATAAATTTTACAAAATAAAAAAGTATTTAATGTTCAATTAGTTTGATTATGCTAATCGACACAACTCCATTATAAGGATGCTAAATATATTTGCAAAGTAAAGTCATATAGCATTCGAACAGCCATGCCCTCTAAAACACTTATTTTCAGTGAAACAGTGAAAAGACGATATTTAACTGAAACGTGAAATGTATTTGCACAACACAATCTGGACACTCTGATAAGGTGTGGTAACTGCTTATATTAAAATTGTTGTCGGAGCTACGACTTTTTATTCTAGCCGTGTTAAACTTGTGTTTGAAGGTGAGCATTTCCACCATATCGATGGTGTTTCCACGAGAAGTACCTTAGATTCAACATGTCAGATGCTTAAAATCTAGCTGAGAATTCGGTTGGAAAAGCTCATTTTCGTGGGTGGTACGTAGATGACGTTAAAGTTAAGTCACAGAGATTCTTAACCGGACAAATACAGTACAAAATAGCATATTATTAATATACGCCAAAGAAAGTAACGACTGCTTGCTATTTTCGGATGTATTTACAACTTGCCGAAAGGATGAGTAAATAAGCCAACCTGTCTACAGGAGGCCCACCTAAAGAGGGGATTTCCTAAATTGTCATAGTTTCCGTCCAGTGTAAAAAGACTTTAGCTAAGCGCTTCTTCAGATGCATGCAACATATATGTACTGGGAATATCACTGAAGAAGTAATACAAGCCCAACTAAAATATTACCAGATAATAGATTTTCCCTGAAACCAATTAAAGGCTAAAAAGGGTCAAACAAAGGGCTCCAGCAATAATATCAGCTCCTGAAAGGGATGTTTATATATCTTAGCACTTCAAAGACGATCACCAAAGTCTGACCACTACATGTAAACTCAGAGAGGCGCCTAACATAACTTATTACGGAACTAAATTCATTTTCATCAGGAAAAAAAGAGAGTGGTGTTTTCGTGTAAGCCCTCAGAGAATTTGAGCGAAAGTGTCACATTCCACTGTTACCTAACTTACATTTATGTGGGCATACACGCACGTAGGAAGGACCCATCGATCTCTGTAGGTCAGAGCTACAAAACAAATAGTTAACATATGGTACAATTAGTCTCCTAAATACATGTCCAAAGTCATCTATCGCAAAGCGGATCATACAGATGGGTCATAAGCTTGAGTCCAACAATGTCTTTAAACCCATTTGTAAAACAGATTTGGATCATATACTTAAATTCGTTGAAGCTTTAGCCATTTAAAGGCTTAAACTTACTTCATGTGTTCAAACATGATTTGTCATTACTCTGAACCTGATTTGGTAATCCAATTTTAGAACACAGGTTCATTTTATAAATATCCGAACTATAGATCTTACGAATTTACTAGAATGATTTGAGCGTCAAATCAGACTAAATCATTACAAAATTACTTAAAATAATCCCAGTGTGTTTAAAGTCCTTTATTTTTGATCTGTTAAACACTATGAGATTATTTTAAGTAACTTTATAATGATACAAGGTTCATTTCACTCAACAATATTTTCACTCTGGCTGTGGTTTTCACCCTACTTGCCTAGCTCTCTCCTGTGGTTATGACCTGTAGACATTTTGGACCTGATCCTTTGTAATTTTTTGCCTTCCATGTAATCATGTGTGACAAGTACATCTCCGATCAGAATGTCCTGTAATATGTTGCCCAAATACACTACAAATTCCAGATAGATTACGCCCTCGTATTTTCCCTCCGAAAGGGAACTAATTGCTCTAAGCCAGTAAATGTATCTCAAATTGAATGCATCTCGAATTGATTTTTATTTCTTGGCTTCCAAAACAATCAGAAATTATTTTCTGTTAATTCTACCCAAAGTTTGCTGGTTAAGCCTACATTTTTATACGATACGATGCGAAAATAAATAAGCAGACAGACAAGCAAATGTATGTATTTCAGCTTCTTTAGTGGGAGAGTAAAAATGATCATGCGTTACCCCCAAATTACATATTGTCCATTATTTCAGTTAAACCAAATCTATGCTATAGGATTTACTATTATTATTTTACTCTACAAATAACTAACATTTTATGAATAATTTAAAAACTTTGACAAGCGAAAATAACGAATAAGATTTTGCTGATATGCATTTTACAATGCTTTCAAAATGCTTTGAAATACAATACAACTTTTGAACCGAACGGATAAGTATTGTGAAAAGATCAATTTACCCCACAAGTTATAAATGTAATAGGAAACTGACAAACTCCTGATAAAAAGTTGGAGAAATCACATCCCCTCTCTTGCATCAAAAATCTATGCTCCACGAAGCTTGCCTGTGCCGAAGAAACAATCAATTGCAAATCTTAAATTCAAAGAAGGTATTATAATTGTAGTTTTTCAAAGACGCTTGTCAACAGTAATTTGAAGAAGTTTCTTCACTGAATCTCTCCACCTTAACTTTTTACGCACACACTTGTTCACCATTTATCAGTCCACTGACTCCTGTGGGATCAAGTACCTTGGTTGTAAAAGTAAGATATCTTCCAGACGTTTCTACGAACACCGACCACTATGGTTGTTGAATGGAGAACATAGAATAGCCAGTGACTTGACTCGATATCACATTATTACTTCTAATTACACAGCTTCGGTAGAGACTTCAGTCAATATCATATGTAAGATAGAGCCAGCCAAAATAATTTTTCTTTCATCCTTGTTAAGCACTGAAGCTCTGGTCATCTATAAGGCGGAAACGAAATTTTGCGTCCAGATATCCTTTCTCAGGCTTTTTATTATCATGGCCTTAGTTTTCATTTTCTCTTTTCGATGTGTTATTTGATGAATTCTATGTAAACGTTTTGTATGACTTTCTTTCATTTCTTTGTGCTTTTATTCCATATCAGTTATATACAAATGATTGTTCATCATTTGATTAGTGTGTTGTACATTTCCTCGATTACGTAAGATTATTTATTATTTTTCACATCACAATTTTCATCCTTCCCTTGCTTCTTTGCTGCTAAGTGACATTAAACTATGGCCCTTTTATTGAATTCTAGATTTTCCCGTCGACTGATTGGACCGAACTGCTCGGTCTCACGTTGACATGTTGGCTTCTTGTGCAGATGCCTCGGCGATGTCTGGGCATGTAATTAGAATTTAATTTGTGGATGGTGACTAGCAGTGAGACCAAGTACTTCGGTCCAATCAGTCGACGGGAAGATCTAAAATTCAATAAAATATTCAGTATGACCCGTTGCACAAGAGGTGGCTCTCATGGCCCAAATGGTCTTGTGGATAGCACTTTGGCGTTTGAAACTACGGACACTGGGTTCGAGCCTCGGTTGGAACATCATCACTCACTAGGTAATGCAGGCATATCCATGCGGCGAGTCCAAAATGGAACGAAACGCGCATCCTAGATTCCACTGCCAGTCACCATCCACAAATTAAATTTTAATTATATGGCCCTTTTAGTTTCTGAATCGACTGACGTGTGGTAGCAAGGAATATCTATGTGGTGAGAGAAGGCTGCTAGCCAATTGGTAGACATTAATCCACGTCAGTGTCTAGGTCACTAATATTGGCCGTGAGAAAATATGAACAAGGCTGATTCAACAACCAATCACAGCAGACTTAAACGTGGGCAAATATGATTCACAGATAGATGGCTCCACTTTCCGAGGTTACCCGAAACAACCAATCAGAAGCCTGCGTTTGTCTACTTGAATAAGCTATAAATAGGTGTTGATTTCCGTAATAAAACGATCTGTTGCCGGCCCTTGTCTTCTGTTGTTATATCTATAGCCTGTTGGATGAATCATATTTCGTCTAATATAAGGCCTCTTCTACTCCTTTCCACAGTAAGAAATTTTATCTACAAGTTAGTGAAGGACATCTCAGATATCAAGAACAGTCCTAGTGACAGCCGCTGACATCCTCTGAAGGCAACTTACATAATAATACAAATAACTGAAGATAATAGGTCATAAATGATGTACTCATTGTATTTTCACATTCCCCATCATGCATAAAGAATATGGCAGTAGCGTGTATTCTTAAATAAAACATACAACACATTAACACCAAAAAGAATGCACCTCAAATAAAGGCTCCCATTCTTTTAAGTGAAAATGAACTGACTACTACTAATAATAATTTTAGAAATATAAAACAATAATGAAATAAAGCAGATTTACCTTGTTGTGTCTCGTCTGATGTTATAGTTTGTCTTCTTTTATAATTACTGAAACCAGATAGCCTGTTCAAATCTTTATGAAGGAATCTGAGGTAAAAGTGAAAATATATATTTGAGAAATAGTTTTGTACATTAAAGAGTACTTGCTAATGTTTCTGTTGATTCTGTATTATGATCTAAAGGAGTTATCCCGGTTAGACAGTATACTTCTAAAGTTTCTCTGAAATATGATTTCTTAGTATTATCCAAATCCTGTTCAGACCAGTCACCAAATATATAAGGTTTGCAGAAAACATTTGAAAAGTGAATAGATAAAACGAATATAGTTCATTGATGGGAATATTTGATTTTGATGAATGTCAGCTAAATTCTACTTCCGAAGCATCACACTTTCATTGGAAAGGAGAATAAGTATATTAGTGAAAAGAAATGTAGACTGGTTGACTTCATTTTTCTAGGCTGATTTTGTGTTTCCCATTGATCGATTATTTTGGACTGTAATGCTCTGTCTCTGCTGACATGTCGCCTACTAGTACGGACAGTTGGAAGATGTCTAAAGAGTAACATGAAGTTATTCTGATTAACGGCGACTAGCAGTGAAATCCTGTGGGCCACAATTCAAGCACAACTAACCTGAGCGATTCACTTAGAAGTTCTACAACAGACTAGCCCATGGATTCCACTGCTAGCCACTAACAACCAGAATAGTTACAACTAACCTAATATTACGTAAAATGTATTCATTCAGCTGGTATGTTACTCATTATATTAGGCTTTTCTTTTTTTATTTATTGTATTTGAATCAATCAAGAACAACAGTGCTTGTGCAGACCAATATGGTACCATCATTTATTTCGTTGACTTCTCATCAGCTGCTTACAGCCTAAATAGATTATGAGGTTAACGTACAGAAAAGTCTTAGCATTCTTGCAAATTTTACATGTTGTCAGTTGAGAGAAAGTTTCACAATTAGTGAACAGTGCTCAGAAAATTACACCGATATAGTTTTTACCTAGAGAGTTCAAGTTCAAACAAAGTGTGCATACATGGTAAATGAGTTACGTGACGAAGACGAGAGATGCGTAAGATGATGACCAACTTTTAAATTAGTTAACAATGTACTAAGTTCAACTCAAATCATAGAAACCAGAGGCAAGCAAAATTACACTGTATCAAGGGGTGAGGTTAAAGCCAAAAATTACGTAGTCAAATGAAAGAGAGAATAAGGACATCCAGTTACCAGGACGCGGAAGGACTGACAACTGCTTCTTTCACAACACATAAAGTGCGTTTCAGGCATTTGATAAAGATTGCTTCTGCAAACTTGAGGAGAATCGAGCTCCTTTATCTATTGATTTCGCGAATTTCACCTCATTACCCGTATCAAGGAGATGCCTGGTAATGGCACTATTGTAAGAGTTTGTTCCTTTGAGACGTAGGCCTCTCTTTACATTTTCAAAGAATCGGAGATGTGCCCTTCTCTCTGTTCTCTTAATGTAACTGCTCTCATAGATAGTTATAAATTTGTATACACGGTTGAAGGTAACACGAGGAGGGTATCTGTCATCTTTGACTGCACTAAAGAGCTTGCTGTCTCATAAACGGGAACTAACTAAGCTGCAGTATATGCTGTGGTTAGTGACGTGCTCAGTCTTCTGTTGACTATTGTCGCAATGTTTTCACCTTTAGAATCAAGTTGGATGAAGACAGCCTTTTTCCTCACTGTGATATTTTGGCGTTTGAGCCTACACATCTTCCATGTATATTAATGAATCTCTGAGGGTAACCGTTGTTTTCCAACATCTTTTCGAGAATCAGAAATTCTCTTTCTAATTTCTCTATAGAGCATACTCTCCTAGCCCTATAGTACAGAGTCTTGACTAGTGTTCATTCAAAATTATTTGGACAAAAACTGTAAAAATGTAGGTGTTGTCCATTCCATTTAGGATTTCGGTAAATTGGCCTCTGGAGACTACCATCTTCTAGGCATTGGATGACAATGTCAAATAAATGGAAATTTCCATAATTTTCATGTCCCATAATAAATACAATACAGGTATGTCGGTCGTTAATAACATTAGTAAGTAGGAGGCATGACTTTTATTGTTGCATACGACAAATTTGTCACTGACATATCAACAATAAGAGGTTGTTTCGTGGATAGCATGTTTCAACTTTATTTTCTCAAGGTTGAACATGAAGTTATCTGCTAAAACTGGGCTAAGTGGACTTCCCATGGCTGCATCAACTATTTGGCGGTAAAGAGTATTGTCAAACTTGAATTGTATATTCATAGTACGTATTAGCAGAAGGGTTTTGAATTTTGACTCTAGGGAGGGGGACAGAAGATCAGACTGCTGATCTGTAATCTGACCTTTTGTTATTGATTTGTTTTTGACAGGTAAAGTGACTAATAATTCATCGACTATCTTTTAACTGTTGACTGGAACTCGAATTTTATAATTCAGTTACAAAACTAATGCGACCTAGTTACTCCATACACATTTATATACCCAGCTATTAGTCACATTTTGTGAACTAGTGATTCGCTAAATTGGAGTCAAGTAATCGAGTGAATAGTCAGCACCTTACTGTCAAAGGACATAGAAATATCTACAAAATGGAACACGTTCCCAATTTTATATTGTCTAATATTTATAAAAGGCATGATTTGTTCTAACTCTAAATACTCTTAAATTTCTTTTAGGTGAAATAACCAAGTAAAGAGAGTACAAGAAACTAGTCCAATACCATGCAAATACAAATTTAAGACCAGTGAGATCGACACACTTTGTACCTCAGTCTGATTATCACATGTTTCTGGGCCAAGTTTAAGTTTAAAGGCTCAAGAGTGTGAACGTTCCAATAAACCTGAAGGCATACATAGTCGTTGAATAACAGGACTCACCACTATTGTGGCACAAATGTGAACGCCACTCATGAATTAAAGTATTAGTTGCACTCCAATCACGTTTTTAAGTACTGTTTGGAAAATGCGTTAATAGCTAGTTAGGATTAGGATTAGGGTTAAGGTAACTATTAGAGTTAGGGTTAGAACTATGTAAGGTTTACGATTAGCGTTAAGTTTGGGTTGCTATTATTTATTTTAATTAGATGTAGTATCCACATTTTCCTAGTTAGTAATCGTTGGTCCTCTTATTGGGAACCATAGTGATTTAATCGAGGGCTTTTGGAGAAGACTGGAGAATATAATAATAGCGCTAAACGGGTCACAAAGAAAGCTCATCTTCAGTCACCACTTTGAATACATGACAGAAACTGGTCTAACTTAAAAACTGATACTTCTCATTATAACTGGGAACTATTTTTAAGTCATATCAAAGAAAAATATCTTGTTTAATGTATTCTATCATTATGCCGTATATTTCTTCTGTAAATAAACGTCATTTTTATGCAGAAACCACTCAATTCCCTGATTGGTTGAATCAAGGTCACTTATGCGTTCGCACTCCATAGGTTGCCATACTTTAACTTTGCCTATTTTCTTCCTTGTAGACATTATTTATTATGAAGCATAGAATTAATTTCTAATTCCTTATTTTTTAAACTTAAAGAAATACTCATTACTAAAGATGTGCATAAAGTTTTGTTTTAATTCACTCCGTGATATAAGAAGTTTCCTGTATTAAGCTGATGCTTATCAGGTGAGATCCCAATAAAAGAAATTTGAAATCTAACCAAAAAGCTTGTCTATTTCGCTGATAATTATTTTTAAGAAAATTTAACAGACTCAATTCATGAATAAATTTTTAAAATTATTTAATGCACTAATGAATCCATTGCATAACTTTAGCCAATGATGTTTTCAAAAACCAACTAAACAAACAAACCAGTAAATTTCGGAAGTCAGTAATTAGTGGAAAACTAAATTTATTGAAGCGTATAATTTTGTGGGTTTAGACATCAATAAACTACTACTTTAAATTAAATGTTCTAAATATACGTATCTGTATTCTATGTCGGCTGTATTGTATTTAAGCAACTTAGAAATCCACACTGAGTCATATGGCCTCGGTGGCACGGGGTTAAATGCTCACCAACTACGCAGGTGGTTGGGAATTCGATTCCTGGCCAACGCACTCCTTTAACTCGCTAAATCAGTAGTAAGACTCGCAAAGAGGGAAGATTGAGGTCATGAGGCTAGCAACCCCATCCGTAAAAAAAAGATAAATACCACTGCTACCGATACTTGAAGCCCTATGTTCCACTTGGAACGTAAAGGACTGAAAAAAAAAACAACTGAGTCGTATAAAAATGGATTCAGCGAGGAGTTACTCTTTTCAGACGTAACATTCTCAAGCTTTAAATTCATAGTAACAAAAGTAATGCTTCCAAAGATGTTTCATTAGAATTGTAAATTTTTAATTAATAATTAAGTAATACAAAAAGTGTTAATGGAGTAGCAGTGTCAGTCTCATTTGTCTTACATAAATTTATGAACATTTAGGAAGGCAATTCCTCCTTTATTTTACATTTACATTCTCCGAGTGGATTTTTTATCAAACACATGACACATCTTCTGTGCTGGAAATCAGATTACTGCTAGTCATGACTGCATATTTTGTAAGTACTGTTAGATTGAGGTGTTCAACAGGGAAACACACTTGTTTCTGAAACTTATCCTTTCTATTTGATAAACTCTGCCTTAAGACACAATGACTAGTGATTTTCAATCACACTTCAGCTAAGAAAATGGTAAGAGTATTTTGCTGAACCAACTGGATATATTCCTTTAGAATATTCGAGATTCCCTAATTTGGTGTATGGAATTACAAAAAGGACTCCAAAAAGACACTTATATTACGGCAGGATTGGAGACTTAATTAACTTTAATAATTAAGTAACGGCGTCGGTGGTATAGCGGTTAGCACGCTCGCCGACCATGCATATGGTCCGGGATTCGACCCCCGGCCGGCGCACTCCTTTACCTCACTGAGCCAGAAATAATGATGGTAAAGAGGAAAGGTTGGGCATGAGGCTAGCAACCCCATCCTGTAAAAATTAAGCACTGCTACAGAAACTTCAAGCCACTAGCTTGAAGCCCTATGTTCCACTGGGAACGTGAA